AACGTGTTGACTGCAGGTGCATGCCGGCAACCAGACCTCGTGCCCATCCCAGATTTCATCCAGGATCATGAGCCTGCCGCAAGCTTCAGCAACCAGCTTCGGCGGAGGCAGGCCGACATGCAGGTCGTCGAACACGAGCCGGATCGTGTACGAATTTCTGCTGAAGCCATTGTCCTCTTGAAGGCCGAGGAGGATCTGTTGCATGAGCTTCTTCGTCACGGGGCTTTGGGAGGGCGTTATGTTTCGGTGGATGATTTGTCGGAACTGGGAATTGAGCCACTTCTTCTTAACCCGGGGAAAGGTTGCCCTGACATCCAAAATAGAATATTTCAGGTTGCTTTTTAAACAGGGGTGGAAGCCCCGCTGCGACGACGAGAGTGAGTTCTTTGAGTGGCACTGCCGTGATGCCACTGCGGAGTTGCCTGCTCAGGGTCTTGGCATGCCGTTGCCATATCTTCGCTGCTTGCTGACTTCTGTGTTGTTGTGGCAGAAGCCGGGCAACCTCCAGCGAATCTTGGTGAACGGGCCTTCGAAGTACTATGAGTACCTCATGAGCTCGGCCGACCTGTCTGCAGTGGCAAAGTTGACGGCTGAAGAAATTAGGCAGAAGTTTGCGGGCGCCCGCAAAGCACGTGCCACGGATGCTGTGGACAGGGCCTTGGACAACGACCCAGAGCAAGAGGACGGATACGAGGTACTGGCCGCTGCTGCTGCGGGTGTCGCAGCAGGTAGCGAGGTGCCTCCGTCCGATCCGGAGCTCTTGCAGTTGAACATGCCCAAGGAAAGCAGCAGAGCCATCGTCGTGAATGGCCGGAGCTGCCACGTGTATTTTGACAATTACACCCATGCCTCCGGCCAGTTGCGAGCTTTTGTGCAGTGTGACAGACATGTCAACTGCAGGTTGTATGTCTTTGTGCACAAGGCGCATGGCAAGGGTCGTGCTGTTGCCTACCTGCAGCGTTGGTTGCAGGAGGCCTCAGCCTATCCTGGTCTAAATGGCGACAGGCACAAACAATACAAACCACCAGACACTGAAGTAGATGCCCTCTTGTTAGCCCAGGCCGTTGCTCAGTAGGTAAGCACGGAACAGTGACGAGTCACGAATCACGAGGTCATGCTGCTGGCACAAACATGGTTTCGCCGCCGCCTGTAGTGTTCTGAGATTTGAGATGATGGTGTGCGATGGCGTGGTTTAGTGTTCTGAGGTTTGAGATGATGATGATTATGATGATGATGTGTGTGATGGTGCGGTTTAGTATTCTGAGATTTGAGAGTGATGGTGCGGTTTAGTGTTCTGAGATTTGAGATGATAATGTGTGATGGTGTGGTTTAGTGTTCTGAGGTTTGAGATGATGATGTGTGGTGGTGCATTTTCAAGGACCCAATTAATTTCTGTTGCTGCAGATTTTTGGCTATAGCCTTGGGCTGGGGCTCTTCATGACTCCTGCCCCCTGGTGGAGCTACTGGCCCTTGTTCTTTGAGGCCAGGTAGGGGTGTCAGAAAAAGGGTTTGTGGTAGTTTCCATTAAAGGGGCTGGGGGCTTAGGCTTGTGTTTCAGATGCTCCTGCATCCAATGGGACTGGCTCACCCCTACCGCTGGGACGTCTTTGGCGACAGTGGGTGGGGCGGCTGGCTCCTACCACTGCGGCGCCTTTGGCGACAGTGGTTGGGGCGGCTGGCTTTTACCAGTGCGGCGCCTTTGGCGACAGTGGGTGGGGCGGCTGTCTCCTACCACTGCGGCGCCTTTGGCGACAGTGGGTGGGGCGGCTGGCTCCTACCACTGCGGCGCCTTTGGCGACAGTGGGTGGGGCGGCTGGCTCCTACCACTGCGGCGCCTTTGGCGACAGTGGGTCGGGTGGCCAGCAACCCAGGATTCAGGTGGCAAACGCCGTATGTGATGTTCGGAGTTCAGGGGTTCAGGCCAGCAACCCAGGATTCAGGTGGCAAAGGCCGTATGTGATGTTCGGAGTTCAGGGGTTCAGGCCAGCAACCCAGGATTCAGGTGGCAAAGGCCGTATGTGATGTTCGGAGTCATGTGCCTGTAGTAGACACCTGTCCAGGCGATGCCGGAGCCAAAAAACAACGGAGGAGGGGCGATCCAGGCCTCCGACTCGGAATCCTACGAGAGTGAGTCGGAGGAGAAGAAGCGGCCAGGGAAGGCTCCTGAGGCTTCTGAGGCGGTGCCACCTTCAAGCGACGATGACATCGCTGACCGCCGGTCGCAGAGGCGGGACCAGCAAGATGCCGCGGTGAAGACCAAGCACCGCGAGAAAGACCGCGGCAGAGACCGTGGCAGAGACCGCAGCAGAGGCCGCAGCAGAGGCCGTGGCAGAGACCGCAGCCGGAGCAATCGCAGCATCAGCAGACGCCGTGGAAGCAGTAACGGCAGAGACCGCAACCACGGTGGCGGCGGCGGTGGCAACCACAGTGGCGGCGGCGACAACCACGGTGGCGGCGGCCAGCACGGTGGTGGCGACAAGAAAGATGGCCACAAGCACGGTGACGGCGACAAGCCCGGTGGCAGCGACAAGCACCGTGGCAGCGACAAGCACCGTGGCAGCGACAAGCACCGTGGCGGCGACAACCACGGTGGCAGCGACAAGCACCGTGGCGGCGACAACCACGGTGGCAAGCACCATGGCTTTGACAACCACGGTGGCGGCGACAACCACGGTGGCGGCGACGGCAAGCCTCGTGATTCGAGCTTCTCGCTTGTGAGCAGCGGATCCGGCGGCAAGAAGGGCGGCAAGAAGGGCGGCAAGAAGGGCGACAAGAAGGGCGACAAGGGGCCAAAGGGGGGCCGTGGCCACAGCCAGCAAAGGGACCCCGCCCAGCAGCCGCAGAACGAAGACGAGGAGTTTGGGCCCTTCAATGAGATTGGCATTGCCAAGTTCAAGCTGTCCGAGCTGCCCCGCAACAGGCGGGGCCGTGTGACCTGCCCGGTCTGCGGGGTGCAAGTGCATCCCGACGGCATGAGCCTCCACCTCATGCATAACTCCCATTGCCTTAACCGCCAGAACGGTGGGCATGCACAGAGAACTTTCGTCTGCGGTTGCGGACGAAAGTTTTGGACGGAGTGGGACCTCCAGCAACACAGTAACCGTTGCACTTGGGCAGCGGGAGAGACTGAGCCGGAGGAGACAGCCGGGCCACAGCAAAGGCCAGTGCGCCTCAGGAGCCGTTCGCGCCGATCCTCGCCCTCATCGCGACCGGCCCGCAGCAAGCCGAGAAAGGATCCCGGCACCGATGATCAGCCAGGGGACTCCTCCGACCGTACACTCGGTGACCGACGCATGGGTCTCCGAGTGTATGCGGATCTTGTCTCGTTGGGGAAGGATTTGCTGCGATAGGCCCGGGACAAAGGCAGGGCTTTCGATGAGGCCCGGGACGGAGGCATGGAGATCGGCCTTGGTCGCGGGCCGCAGTCGGGCCGCAGCGGAAGGGTTGTAGCCTCGTTTCACGAGCTAGCTGAGTGACTGAGTGTTCAACGATGGTTTTAAGCTTAAAACAGGTTCTCGAAAGTTGTGTTGTGTGAATCAAGAGGCTGTTGTACTCCATCAAAGGACAATATAGGACACAAAGGTTGACACTCGGCCACTCGGCCCGAGATTCCGCGAGAGCCAGTAGCAGGGCCCCTGTGAGGAGTTCGCAGCCCTTTTGCAAAAGCCCGTGAGTGTCGGCGTAGGCTTCAGAAAGGTTTTCAAAGGCTGTGTGAGGCCCTTTCTTGGACACTCGGGCGATAATCGGCGAGATCCGGACATACAGCACTGTGTCAAGGAAAAAAACACGAAATCGCAGAGATCGCATCCGTTTCAGTCGATTTGCTACCGAATTCCCGCCGAGTTCCCGCCGAGTTCCCGCCGAGTTCCCGCCGAGTTCCCGCCAGTTCCCGCCGAGTTCCCGCCGAGTTCCCGCCAGTTCCCGCCGAGTTCCCGCCACGTTCCCGCCAGTTCCCGCCAGTTCCCGCCAGTTCCCGCCAGGTTCCCGACAAGTTCCCGACAAGTTCCCGACGAGTTTTCGACGAGTTCCCGACGAGTTCCCGACGAGTTCCCTCCCAGTTCCCTCCCAGTTCCCTCCCAGTTCCCTCCCGGGGCCCTCCCGGGGCCCTCCCGGGGCCCTCCCCGGCACCCTCCCGGCTTCCTCCTGGTTCCATCCCGGTTCCCTCCTTGGGTTCCCGCTTCCCGGTTTTGTTTTGGTTGTTTTGGTGGTGTTTTGGAGCCGTTGTTGTATGTTCTATATCTCAAGCCTTGTTTGCCTGTGCAGCTGGTTGCCAGCACAAACAATAGCCTTACGTGATGTCCTGCAGCAGTGCATCGCCAAGATCCTTTCTTGAATTTGTAGGATGAATAAGCGGAAGCGTGGTGCCTCGCCTGAGGCCGCTCGTGCGGCCGGAGCTTCCGCAACGTTGCCAATGGATGTGTGCCTCTCTATTTCCGGAGGCAGTGCAGCGGCTGCGAGAGCAACTGGATCCAACGGGTCCGGCTTGGGCTCCCTCGCAACGGCTGCACCAGCAACTTCGTCCGCCTTGGACTCCTTCGCAACGGCTGCAACGGCAACTTCGTCGGCCGTCGGATCCGCCGCGGGGCAAATCTGGAAGTGGTGTGCCCTGCCGGGCTTGCCCGGCGGCGCTGTTTAGAGTAAACGTTTTGGGTGGGCGGGGCGGGGTGTCTCTGTGGGTAGGAGGAGTTCCCTCGACTGGACCAACTCGAAGATCTCCGCAGTTTCAAAGAGAAAAGTTTTATTGAGCAGTTTTGAGTTTCTATTTTATTTACGTATCGTGCGCTTTTCAGAATGGAGCCAGAAGCTGAGTGCGCGCACAATCTCAATGCTTATCATGGACGCAGAGCTCAGGCTCAGGAGCAGGGAAAATTTTGATTGTATGGGGCTAGCATTCACAAGCATCGTTGTGACGCATGACTGGACAGTTTAGCTTCACGGTAGCTCCATACTTTAGGACTACGAAAGCGGTAGAAGGGTGGCCCTGCGGCCCATGGTCGGCCATGAGTGGCACAGGACTCGGATGGCCCGCTTTAGTGCCACCATACCGCAACCGCCTTGAAGAGTGGTTTAGCACGCCTGAGAAATTGCATGCCTCATTCGACACGAGGGAAGAGCTTGTATCATTGCTTAGGGCTTGCGATAACACGCTTCTTGAAAGTAGCCTGCAGTTGATTGCGGATGCACTTCTTGAATGGCATGCAGACAATGCTCGCACAGTTGCGAGTGGGCGCAGGGAATCAAGGAGGCGCTTGACAGAGTGCTTGCCCAGTGTCCCGGGAACTGGCCTTAGCTTGCATGAGCATTACAATCAGATTGCACTTCAGAGTCCACTTGCGTTGCTTCCGGTTCTTCGCAAGCGGAAGTTAGCTACTGATAGGGTCGTAGATCGCGGTGCCAGGGCCACTGAGGAGATACGGCTTCGGCAGGAGTATGCATTGCGTCTTGCAGCCATCATGCAGGAGGCGCAACTGCCGGTGTGCAAGGTGCTTGCAGGGGTCAGCAATGCCGAGGAAGCCTGGCCACGGCTGTTCGGGACCCGTCGATCCAAGACATTGAGAAATCGCTTTAGAGCTTGGGACAAGTTTCGGGAATGGTTGCTTTATAGCCGTGGCAGGAGCTATCCGGAAGGGGTAGCTGATGTGCTAGATTATGCCAATGAACGATTCCAGGAAGGATGTGGAAAGACAGTTCTCGAAAGCCTGCAAGCCTCTCTCAGTGTAATTGAAGGTGTAGGGCGCGTGCCGTCTACGCAGCAGATATCTCAGGATCCCACATGGCAGGCGCAGCTCAAAAGTTACACGGCCGATTTGGTTTCGGCGGCACCGCCGGAGCAGCCAGCCAGCATGCTCACTGTTGCTATCGTTCTTGCATGTGAGATCTTCGTTTGCACGCCCGGGGAGCCTAGTTACTTGAGAGCATTGGGCTTTGTCTGCTTATTGATGGTTTGGGGATCGCTTCGGGCTGATGATGTTCAGGGGCTCTTGCCGCAGACCATGCTTCTGGACGAGCGAGGGCTTAGCATTGATCTCGCGCGGTCCAAGACTACAGGGCCCGACAAAAGGACCCACACCGTCAAGGTCTTCGTGGAACGGAGTATCTCTCTGACAGGGCATGATTGGCTGAAGGTCGGATATGCACTTTGGAAGGATTTCGATTTTGAGAGGGATTATCTGGTTTTGAAGGCCAATGAAGGTTTCACGGAACCCCTGGAGAAGTCGGTGCCTTCCTCCACGGTGGCCCTTTACTTCCGCAAAGTTCTCAGTGAGTTGAAAACGCCCAAGCGTGAGGGGCGCACATGGAAGGCCAATGATCAGCGTCCGCTGCTCCCGGGATACACTTCCAGTCATTTTACGGGACATTCTGCGAGGAACTTCCTTAGCTCGGTCGGAGCGGCCATCGATGTCGACCCCAGGGAGCTTGATTATCTGGGTCGCTGGAAGGTAGGTGGCGAAGGTTCTGCAACCTACATTCGCACTTCTAGGCAGGTTGTGCATCGTCTCCAGAGTCACATTGCTTGTTCCCTTGTCACCGGACAGCCAAAGCACTACATCGAGGTGGATTCCATCAAGGCTTTGACGGATTATGCAGCTAAGGCGGGGGAGAGCGAATCTCAGGTTCGTCGCCGTCACACCCTCCTCGAGGGATCCAAAGGCTTGGGCGGGTCGTGGCCAACTCTGGCATTGGAAGTGGGTGTTGCGGCACCACCTTCTCCAGTCGAGCAGGTTTCGATGCCAGGCAGCCGGGGGGATTACTTCATCGTTACCTCTCGCACCACAGGCCTGAGGCGTCTGCACATGTTGGGCTGCTATGTCAAGCCTGAGAATTGTTATGATGTGAAATTTGTCAGTCATGTCGGCGCGGAGGACGTCGATAACATTTGCAAAGATTGCAAAGCAAGAATGAAGGCTCAGGCCGGAGAGGAGGAATCAGACCCCTCCAGCAGTGACAGTGGGAGCGAGTCGATGTGAAGGCAAAAGATGCTTTCGACTGCTGTGGATAGGCTGTGCCCTGCAAGTCCTAGCCAGAAGTTGGCATGAGTTGCTTATGCAAGGGCGCCTTGAAGTAGATCCACGATAACAGTCCATGCTGACTTTTCTCAGGGCATCTTGAAGTTGTTTCGCGATAACAGTTCATGCTGATGAAGTGCACGTGCTGGCGCTGTTCAAGCAGGAGGAAGTCTCACTCGGCGCAGGCCGTGAGGTGCCGGCGGATTCCGCATCCTGTCACAGGCCTCAGGGCGACGGGTGGACACATCGCAGTGCAGCTAAAGGCCTCAGGGCGGCTAGCAATCCAAGTCCTACAGGGCCACAGGCCGGGGCGCGGCCTTCGCATCAGGAGTAGCGGGAGTTAGTTATTGTTGTCGCAATGGCCGCCACAGATGCCGAGAAGCGCGAGCTCATAACCAAAGCAGATAGCGATTTGCAGTTTGTGCTCGGAGAAGCTGGCTTGTCTCTGGATGCCCAGTATCGCATTGTGCAACGACACACAACACTTAGGCGATTCCAGGCAATCGCCGATTCCCGGCCGGAAGCTCGGGCTGCTGGGAAGGCGGACTTTGGTCTTGATGATGGGGCTGCTGATGGGCGACAACAAATCGCGGGGGTCGTCGCTGCATGGGAACTTGCACGCGACGTAATCAGCAAAGAGACGGAAACACGAGCAGAGGCGAAAGTGTTAGGCCAGCCGCGAATCTTGCAAGTCACAGAGAGGCAAGCAATGCTCAAGGCGGTAGCGGCCGTTCACGGGCAGCTGGGAGAGTCGGAGACTCCATCGTCTGAGTACCTCGCTCTCAAGTGCGAGGAGTGCGAAGCCAATGAGCCTCAGGCTTCAACCTTGGATGCCATAACTTCGAAGAAGAACACGCTCACCACGAGCATCCAGTCCAGCCTTGACGCTTCGGGGCGAATTCATATTACTCAGCACAAATCCAAGAGCGAGCTCCCGACTACTACAGAAGCTTATCGCAAGGTCCTTCGCGTGGAAGCTTTCACGTGGCTATGCATGGCATCCCGCTTTAAATCCAAGCAATGGCTTCAGGATCTTAAGCTGTCTGACTTCGACCACTTCGTGAACTACATCCTTGGCGAAAAGGTCGCTCAGCTCTCAGTGCCTACGTCTCATCAGCCAGCCGATGTGCCTTCACTTTCGCCACCTTGGGAAGTAGTCTTGGCCTATGAGCACCGGTTGCGCAAGGAGGCTTTCCGTCTGGTCAATGATCAGGGTTATACTCTGGCAGGCGCTCTGGCTTCAGTCATTTCTTCAGCGGAGCTTAAGGAGACCTACTTCACGACGCCGCTCGCCTTGTCCATCATTGAGCGACCACGCAAGTGGCACAAAGGCAAGGGCAAGGGCAAGGATGGCAAGGACGGAGGCAAGACAGGCAAGGGCGGCAAGGGCAAAGACTCCAAGGGGGGCAAGAACGGCAAAAGCCCCTCGGACCCGGCGCTTAAGGGCCTTCAGTTGGTTTGGCGCACGCCGGAGGGCCGCGACATTTGCTTTGCATTCAACTCGCAGGGCTGCACCAATCCTTCATGCGAACGCTTGCATGTGTGCCGGGTCAAGGGCTGTTATCAGCCCCACTCAGCGACCGAGCATAAGCTTAAGACCAGCAAGCCCAAGGAGTGACTATCGCATGATTCGGTTTCTACCATTGAAACATCAGACCACATCGCCTACCAGCCTCAGCTGTACAGTCCGAGCGGGCTTCGTGTGCTCTACATTTTCGCGGGGCCCCATCGCAAAGGTGATGTGGGCTCTTACCTTCAGTCACTGGGCAATGTCACTAATCTTCTTCAGTTCGATCTTCAGCGCTCCACGGAGCATGACTTGACTAAGGAAGGCTTGTGGCAGCACATCTTTCAATTGCTTGGCGAAGGGGATTGGATCCTCATTGCCTCTCCTCCTTGTGAGACATTTTCCAGAGTCCGGCATCGCCACCCCGGGCCAAAGCCACTACGTTCAGCATTTTATCCTAGAGGTTTTCCATGGTTAAGCAATTTGCACGCGCAGCAGGTGGAGCAGGCTAATTATTTTCTTGATCAGACCGTGACGGCATGTCAACTTGCATGGCAGTATGTTCTGGAGCACCCGGAGGATCTCGGCGCAACGCCGGATCACGAGTTACCGGCTTCCATCTGGCAGCTACCAGCTCTGCGTGAGCTCCAGGTTTCCACTCAGGCCATCACTTTTGCTTTCTTTCAATGCAGCTTTGAGGCTCCCACTTCCAAACCCACACGCCTTCTCACTAATCTACGGGCCTTTGTCGAGCAGCCTCCGCCTTTTGCTTCCTGGCCACGCTTCGACTCCAGTGATCGCTACGTGGGGCCGTTGCCGCCACGCTGCCCGCACGGGAAACATGACAAAGTACTTGCAGGCCGGGAAGGCTCCCGCTGGGCGACCGAGTCATCAGCAGCCTATCCTCCTCTGTTGTGTGAGTGGCTTGCGCATGCTGTGCTTGCTTCCGCTTCGCAGGGGGGACTTGGGTCAGCGCCGCACAGCTCCGTTCCAGGTGAGGCAGGTCCAATGCAGGAATCCCACGAGGCGACGCAGGAGGTGCATCAGGATTTATGTGAAGTGCCGCAGGGGCTGCACCAGGTGGTTTCCGATAGGGTAGAGGCGGTTACTGATAGGGTAGAGGCGGTTGGCTTGATCGAGTCGGAAGCACCTCCTTCCACTTTGTTGCCGTCGCCAGACTCTTCGGGGCCAGACTCTTCGGGGCAACCGCAGCCGAAGGCAGCACCTAGGGGGGTTAAGAAACAAGTTGAAGCTGAGGAGTTCGCACGCATCATTTCTTCATCGAGAGCCCCGACTCGGGCCGAGGTCCATGCTCTCTTCAAACTGCTGCCGCATGAGACTCCGCCTAGGTCGGCGGTGTCCTCTAATTGGGTTCCTAGCAGCTTTTCGACAGGCTTGTACCGGAAGGGTGGAGGCCTGATCGGGCTCAGGTCCGCGTGCAAAGGCTTCCCGGCTTCCACAGAAGCTTTGGCATCCTTCGTGCGTAGCAACATGCCCGGGGACGTAAAGGATTAGCCTTTACCTTAACACTGGCACCAAGCCCCACAAAGACTCCAGGAACGCACCTTTGCCCAATGGGATAATAGGGGTTACTGACTTCGTAGGAGGAGAGATCTGGGTCGAGGCCCAGGATGGGGAGTCTGTTCAGATTGTTGACGGTAAGCGCTTAAGTGGTCACCTTCTTCCGATCAGTGAGACACCCACCTACATACATGCCTACCGCGATCTTCACCTCACAATGCCCTGGAAAGGTAAGAGATTAGTCATCATAGCTTTCAGTGTATCGGAGCATACTCAGGCATGCGATGAGGATCTCGCGTTTCTTCGCGGGCATGGTTTCGTCCTTCCGGGCGAAGAGCACAGTGTTGATCTTGAGGCGGTCCAGTCAGATGATTCGGAGGTGCTGGAGGGGGGTGAGGTCGAAAGGCCGGAGCCCTTCAAGCATCAGGAGTGCCACAACATCGGGCTGCCTTTGAACCTCGAGTGGGATGGCAAAACTCAGCCGATCACGGATGGCTTTGGACTCTGCTCACCCACTAGATGGCCTCCGGAAGCCAGGGGGGGCCTGCTGCCCAAGCAGGCTTTGGAGTTCGCCACTGCCATGCATCAAGTGCTTCGAGACTTTGTAGCGGACGTTGTGCCTGATATCAAGCGCACGGCGATGGAGCTTGCGCTAGGCCGCCTTAAGGAATCGCCTTTCACTCCCGAGATGTTAGGGGTCCTTAGGAAGGATTGGTTTAGTTGCATAGAGGTTGCTTCGGGAGGCAAGTGTACGGATCTTGATGTGGTGCCGAGTGGCCAGCCATTCTTCTTGCATGCTGTGTCTGCGACGGCTCGGCTGTTGCAGGACCCAGATTGGAAAGCCGTTTCTTGCCAGGAGGACTCCTATGTCAGCGGGGTCGCGATCGGTTATGACTGCCCCGCGCCTCACTTGCCACAGGTGTACGAGTACAAACACAAGTCCCGCAAGCTCGATGAATCGGATGCCGAGTGGCATCGCGAGAACTATTCGTCGGCAAACGAAACATCGGATCAGCTTGAGAAGAAGTTTGCAGAGGAAGAGGCTCTTGGTCGCATGGCGCCTTCCACGTTGCCGGTTCTTGAGCAAAAGTACGGGCGGGATAGGGTTAGGATAGCTTCTTTAGGTTCCTTGATTAAACCAGACGGTTCCGCTCGGCCATTACACGATGGCACCCACGGTGTGCATGTCAACAATGGTATTAGGCTACTTAATCAGCAATCCAATCCCGGACCCCAGGAGGTAGTTCACCTTGTGCGCAGCGCAAAGCAAAGTCAGGAGGCCACCTTTTGCCTCACCGGCGATGTGACGGCGGCTCACAGGTTGTTCCTTGTCAGAGAGGCCGACTGGCCTTTGTTGTGCTGTAAGGTGCGCAACGACACGCCGGTCGTTTGGTACAACAAAGTAGGAACGTTCGGTATATCATCATCCGCCTTCCTTTGGTCCAGATTGTTTGGGATCATCGGCCGCTGCACCGCGCGCTTTCTTTTGACATTGTGGTTCTATCACCTCGTCTTCGTAGATGATGTTCACGCCAACTTCGCAGGAAGGGAGAAATTTCATCATTTGCTCATGTGGCTAGCATGCTTCGAGATGTTTGGCACACCTTTCGCATACAAGAAGTTCCGCGGTGGGCTCACTTCGGCTTTTGTGGGTTACGAACTTTCTTATCCAGACCAGAGGGTCGGAATTTCCGAATCGCGGGGCCAGTGGCTCTTGAAATGGATCGCTGAGGCTCGGTCCTCGAAGTTTGTTGTTTCGGTTCGCAGGTTTGCTGAGTTCTTAGGGAGGCTGGGCTTCGTCGCTCGGCTTTTGGTTTGGCTTAAGGCACACCTTGCACCGCTTTACAGCTGGAGGGCAGCGGTGAACGACAGTTCAGTCGCTCGGATGCCCGACACCGTCATCCTTACTCTTGAATATCTTGACCTCACGTTCAGGGACATGACGTTCAAGGTCGCCGCAGCAAGATCGGTCAAAAGAGAAGGCGTGGCCTTCCGCACTGATGCAAAGTGCGCGGACGGGTACGTGGTCCTTGGGGGTTGGGATTGCGCAGGCACAACTCAGGAGTCCAGATGGTTCTCACTTCGACTTACTCCCTCAGAGGCCCCTTACCTCTTCGACTCAGAAGGTCACAGTCAGTGGGCTTCGGCATCGGCTGAATTGCTGGCCACGCTGGCTGCACTGCACATCTTCGGTCACCTTGAAGCCGGGCCAACTAGGCGTTTGATGAAGGTTGAGGTTCTAGCTCAGACGGATAATAAGTCTAACGAGGGCTTGACTCGCAAGGGTTCTACAACGCGCTGGCCCTTGCTCATGGTTAACATGCAGCTCACCCATGTTCTCATGAAGGCCGGCTTGCGGTTGAACTTGGGATGGCGTCCACGGGACGAAAATCAGGAGGCCGATGATTTAACCAACGAAATCTTCGACCGTTTCTCTGAGGAGTTGCGGGTCCCAGTGCAGTACTCCGAATTGCCGCTTTCCTTTCTTCACACTCTTTACGAAGCCAGGCGTTCACAGCTGAGCAGCCGTGAAGTGGATTCCATCCGCGACACGGTCGGTGGCAGGCCACGCTTCAGAGGCAAGAGAAAGAGAGAGAAGTCTCCTTGGTGACGTGCCGGCCTGCGGAAGGGGGGGCACAGGCACACAGGTGCGCCTTCCCGACACGTCAAAGACCTGTTCAAGAATTAGATGCCTGCGTGAGCCTGCCGCCATCCGTTTGAAAACATCCTGCGTGCTCCTTTCGGCAGTTGCTATCTCTTTAGATATTCATCATTAAGTGGCGAGGATACATTTGATTGGAGTCCCAAGAGGCGAAAGCAAGATATGAGAATTTATACCCCATATATTCTCTGGGGATACCGTCGGTGCATTTATACCTTCGCCGATATTTCCGTTTGCCCAATATATCTTCTGGGCAATAAAATTTCTGATGAGGGAACTGAGTTTTGTAAACTTCGCTCACAGCGCCCTTCCTAAACACAACGGTTGCGGAGAACAGTGGAAGAAGACAGTGCAGGACGGCGGCGAAGTTGTGTGGTGGTGGCAGTGGTGGTCAGAGCCACGTGTCTGAGCCACTGTCACAAGCCACACAAGCCACAAAGCCACAAGTGTGGACCGTGTGGAGGCGAGACACGAAGTCACGAAGTGAGTTAGTGTTTTTGGTGCTGAATGGACAATCCATGACAGCCCCACGACTAACAGCCTGATGTGAGCATCCATAGGAAGCAGAGAATTCAGCTGCATGCTCTCCGATTGCATGACCCAAGGCAGTGAATGGAAAATGCAGCATTTGTTTTGTTTATGCAAAGGCGTGCCAGGTGTTGAATGAGTGCAGAGACCAAGACCACCGTCGATTCGGTTCACAGCTTGGGGCTGCGACAAGACTTCAGGGTTGGAGTGTGTGGTGTGTGGCTGTGTGTCCTGTCCATGGAGGGTGCATGTGTAGCCGCAGAAGAAGCAGACCCTGCCACAGCTGCCGCCAGGCCGGGTTGGTCCCAGCTCCGGCAGCAACTGTGGGAGCTAGGGGCTGTGTTTCGAAAGAGGAAGCACGTGCCCTTGGTGTCTGAGCCTTGTGTGGGCCTGAGCCCATTCAAGACCTGGGTACAGCAGTCCCTTGAGCCAGGCGACTTGCACAGTCACCGTGCCGTAAATTGTTACGACACAGACACTGGCTTGCTGGGTCATTGGAAGGCTGTTCCAGGTGCACACATAGGGCCAAAGCACTCAATAACAGACGTCCCCCTCGACAAGCTCGAGGATTCGGAAGGGCTCGTGGCTGGGCCACCATGCCAGCCCTTCTCCCCAGCTGGCCAAAGACATGGCACCTCTGATGCCCGATCGGTTCCCTTTGACACAGTTGTGAATTGGGTAGTCGAGTTGTCCCCCGGGCCTAGCAGTTGATCGGGCTGAGGGGTTTCCAGGGTGGGTGTGGACCCCGGGGGCGGTACTAAGGGATTCTTTCCCGAAGAGCACCCCCCACCCTCCCCAGTCCGCCTGCTAGGGCGACAGTACCGCTGCCCCCTCGTGGGCTCAAAACGCATGTCAACATGCTGCTGTATTCCATCGTACAAGAAACGGGGAGTTGCACGGAGTTGCGGGGTACCTACTGGTTGCACGACCCCCCAACATTGCTGACTTGACTGGAACACGCAGCCTTGTATCCGCATGTGTGCCATGGCATCTGAGAGAGGCTGCTGATCTGCCGTTTCGAGACACTCATTTACGCACCCCGCTTGGGTTGGTACTGTTATTCCATTAAGCCATTATGCTTACAGGTGACTACTATATTGGCAGGCCTTGTGCGTTTGGGATTTCTGGATAGGTAAGACGGACTCGCCTCGGATCAGTCGTAAGTGAGCTTGATGCCACTGTTATTGCTTGGAGCCAGTTGCCGCTGTCAGCTGCAGGGGAGGAGAATATGTGTCAGAAGCGCTATGCCGACCGATCTCCTTTTCGGGGCGATTGCCTATCTCTGCGTAAGCTCTCTTTTTGCCAACTGTATGAAATTGTAGCCCATGAATCGCTGTGTGTGACGTTTATTTGTGACGCGGTGTTGCTTTGGCCGTGCGTATTGAGAAGATGCGGAGTTGTGGCGACGCCTGCGCATGGTATCACAGGTTGAGCAACAGTAGCCAGTTCAGCTACTGTAGCATGTCCAAACATGTCAGCCTTTGTTGGAATGCTCCTGATCATGATTTGCACGCATAGGTTTCTCCTTGGAGTGTTTCTTCAGACTTTGGCCCTGATGCTTGTCATTTCAGTCCACTAGTACCTGCAGTGAGCAAGGACCAGAGGACCGTATCGTGTGTTGGTCCTCTACTGCGTGACTGCGTGTGTTAAGAAGTGCTGGTAGCTTCTCCTTGCAGAACAGTTGTGGACTTTCGGTAGCCAAGGTTATTGGTGTATTCGCATGCCTCGCACACGTCATAAGACAGTCATGGTAGAGAGGTAGCCGACATGTTCCATTCCTGAGGACTTTTTAGTATCTTGCAACGTCTGCTGCAGAGAATGTGCGCATAGGGAGCAGTATGGGAGACTGGATGCCTTGCAGTCCCCCCTGTGCCACGTGTTTGCCGGGGGAAAAGAGCTACCGATGACGCATAACATGCAGACCATGCCGCATCCAGCATCAGCCAGTCAGCTCGACGGAAGAAAGTCGGATCTTGCAGTTCGATTGATCAGAGGCTCCGTAGCGACTAGATTGCCGAGCATCCTAAATCAGTCTGATCTGTTCAGCGGAAAGAGGATCAAATCGTCTGCAATTGGCGATGGCAAGACTTGACAACAGGTACGACAGATCCCAGACTCATCGTGCCGAGACTGCGCGTAGACACTCGCCGTGGTTACAGTGACGGTGTCGTTGATTGCACAATGGACCCCAGCAAGTTGGCATTGCTCACGCGAGATTGAGGCACAGTACTCCACTCGCCCCATCTCCAACTCAGGTGGCAGCGATGGTGCTCCCTGATTCACATACAACCGGGTCGTAGCAATGGGGCTCCCCGCTTTACAATCATACTCCCCCCCCCTTTGGGTCGTAGCATTGGTGCTCCCCCCCCCCACTCACGGGTCGCAGCATTGGTGCTCCCCACTCGACGACTGCCAGACTTACTATGCAAGGATGCACTTTCGCACAGGACGACACCCTGGGGAGCAGGTTGTAGCATTGGTGCTCCCTGACTCACGATATACTTTGTATTCACTGTGTGCAGTTACAGGACCCTACGAAATTTGGGAAGGACACCTACCCTGATCTGGCACACCTCCTGTATTGACCTCGCGATTGGGCTCCAGGTTGATGCGGAAGGGGCGGAGGGCTCTTGTAACTCTTTCGTTAGTCATGTCAACTGGTAGTTGGCACTATCGTGCTTCAGATACTTGTTGCTACTGTGCACACTGACTGTAGGTTTCCTCACCCGGTCCTGTGCTACTACCGCCTGAATCGCTTCGAGTGGGCAGCCATTTGAGAAAGCACGGCTCGACTCGCTAGGACTCTCGACGCTGACTTCGGCGCTCTTGCAATGGATCCGGCTCTACATGGAGACGCCATTCGAGCCCTTCGTCTGGGGCTCACCTTCGCCGAGCAGAGTCTACAATACTTAGTTCCGGCACCTCCCCGGCACTCCCGCCCCCCAATCCCGCGCCGTCCAAATGGCGGCATGCTGGAATCTCGAGTGACCCGCTCTCGTTCCCGGTCGCCGCAGGCACATCGAGCAGCGGTGGCACTCAACCGTGGGAGGATGAGGCAGCAGCCGCCACGTCGCCATCGCTCCCCCTCCCCCCTTCGTCGTGCCTCCCCCAAGCGCCGCGGTGCAAGAGGCTGCCCGCAGCCCCCAGCCAGTCACCCTACTCGCGCTGCTGCCCCTCGTACACGCCCTCCCACCGCACCTCGTAACGGGAGACCCAGTACGTTCACAGGGTCACAGGGTCGTGTGGCTAATCACTCGAGGCGCTCTGGGACCGACCATACCATGACAGGTAATCCGACCACTGGTCCCTCCCCCCCCATCGGGCTTTGCATCCGTGGAGTCCGAGGAGCCACCACCGCCACAGGCGGGCAAGCAGTCCATGCAGCAATGGCCCTACTTTCACCTACTTTCGCTTGCCTCCAGCCGGTATTTCATGTTACGCAAGTAGGGGAAGGTTCGTCTGCATGTGTGCTTGTGGGGCATCAAGCCTTCCAGGACATTACGACATTGGTTCGCATACTACGGGAGCTCCGGTCTGGCAACGGTGGCAGGATGGCCACCGCAATCGGGGACATCAATGTGGAGGCCGCTGACACCGAGATCGGACAGCAGGCAGCCAGACGGCTCACAGAGGTGAACGTGTCTGGTGACACCCCTGAAGACCCGAACACGATTGGGCAGCCCGTCACTGCCGCCCCGGCATCACCACCCCATGCAACACTAAGGCCGGCATCTGAAGGCCATACAGCACCTGCCCAGACCGCACCAGAGCCAAACAACAACACGTTGGAACAGGACGGTATGCCGCCATCCACTCTTGCTCCACACGATGAGGACACAACGGGCGACACAACGCTAGCCCCGGACTCGGTGGTATCTCCCCGTGTTCCACCTACCGTTTTCAACGAAGAGTCGGCGAGTGGCCCTACCCTACCTCCCGAAGTTTTGCATCTGCCTTCCCCGCTACCTGATCATGTCGGATCCCCACCGCCCCGCGTGCCCATTGTGAGCCGCGAGGAGCCCGTCCCCCATCCCGTGCTGCCCCGTCTGGTCATGACCAGTACGCTGAGGCTGTGGATGGCTTGGCCCCACCCCGTCCCTCTCCGATTGCCTTCCCCCCCTCAGCCGACTCGGCGGGTATTGCTCCGATGACCCCTCCTGTGGACTGTGAGCTCACTCCCCAACTCAGGGGTGTGGAGTACGTGCTTGGCGCCAACTGCCTCCTGCCAGTCACCAACTGCACTAGCTGTCTGCAGCCATTCGAAGTGGGTGAGACGCTCGTCCGGTTGGTGTGCATGCACTACTTTCACAAGGAGTGTGCGACCAGATGGTTCTCCTCCCCCATTCATGGTCATCGCTGCCCGAGCTGCAATGTGAATCTGATCGGTTTGGACAGCTGATAGGCCATGTAGATTGGATGGACATGCCAGGCATGCTGTCACGCAACGTGTTGGGATGCTGGTACTTTTGATTTTGCTTATGACTGTGCAACCTGCTTGACCAGATGGTCGGAAAAGTTTTCTGCACGTAGTCTCTGGGGCGTCTGCTGGGACCTTGCATGATAGAGCTAGTCCGGGATCAACTGCAGTCGCTTGACTGGTGACTCATGGGCTGCTCCTCACATGGTATTTGCTGTGGGACCCTCAAGCGTCTTGCAGCCTTGCACTCCGCAGCTCACTCATCTCTAGCCGTGACACTTCTTGTACTGTAGCTCTTTACTGACCTTCTTTTGGTTGGAAGATGTCGGAAACGGCGTCAACTCCCTAGGACTCGACAGGTCATCTTCTCTCGGGAGGACAGCACATGTTCCCCCCGTTCCAGGCCCGCCTCTTCCTCGGTACCCGCGCGGGCGTAGGACTACCTTCCTCTCGCAGCGCCTGTTCGAAGTCCTAGGCGCAGGTACTTCTAAATGCTGCACTGTAATTGTATCCTAGGGTAGCTCTGTTGTCAGCGGCGGATGGAGCCACCTATCCTCGCCGCCCACGATGGCGGGAGCGACGACGAGGACCACATCCCCCCAGCTGATCGGGCGATGGTGCCCGTCGGACGGAGGCGCAACCTACACTTTATCGGGCAGTGCCTGGGACACGATGTCAGCTGGCGTGGTACTCAGGTAATCCGTGTCGTCTCGCTCCAAGCGGGCGGCGTGGGTGGATCAGATCGCGAAGCATGGGGCAAATGGTGGGCAGATTGCGCTGCGGAACTGGGCGCGGACATTTTTGTGTTGGCTGAAACGCGCATCAGTACCTCTAGAGGGCACGCGCAGGCTGTCACTGGTATGGAAAAGGGGGGATACTTCGGGATTAGTCACAATGTGGACCCTACGACTCCCACATCATCGCAGGCCCCTTCACCATTGTCGTCGGGAATAATCATTGCAGTCCGCAAGGACTACATAGGAAGTTGGCAGCAAGTCACCAGAGACTCAAATGGACGCGCACTAGCCGGCACACTCCTCAAGGACGACGGAGCGGCCATCCGTGTGGTGGGCGTATACGGCCCGACAGGCGCCACCTCCGCCTCCTTCGACCAGGACGCTAGAGCACTTTCGCAGGAGCGGAATCTGGTCGAGTTTGTCTCCCATCAAAAAGCTCAAGCACTACTTGCTGACGCTTCTCTGCTGGTAGTAGGGGACACTAACAGCTACACCTCCCCGGATTTGGACTGCTGGGAGGGTCAAGCTGCTGCTAGACCCGCATGCCTAGCGGTGCAGTTACAGGAGATGGGATTACATGACTGCTTCAGGGAACTTCACCCGCGATTGAAGGCTTTTACCTTTTTCACCCAACAGGGCACCGCTAGCCGCCTTGACCAAATTTGGTTTATGGGCGGCATCGGGGGTACCAGCAGAGTGCTCAATGCAGCAGTGGTATGGCAGTGGCAAAGGCGCACTGATCATGACCCTGTAGTAGTTGACCTTATTCATTCCCTCCCGACAACGTCGGAGCCACTGGCCGCCACAGATGACGTGGACTGGCGTCGTATTGTGCAAGCCAGCCTGAGTGCTCCGGAGGCTGAAGAGCTCCGGGCTAAGATTAGGGGTGCTTTAGACCCCGCACGTACCCCACTGGAGGAAGCCATGACTCACATCCGTCTGCAAGCCGTTGACCTGCTCCGTACACCATCGCCAGCAGCTACTGTGCTTGAACCAGGAGGAGTTGCAGACCGTCGGGGGCGCGACTTAAGAGAGGCCATTGAAAGGGCCACCTCTTTATTCCACTCGTCGGTAGCCGCAAGCCTCCCACGTCTGTCTGCCAATCAAGACCACGCGCTATCCAGGACCAAAGCCTTATGGGAGGAATGTATCCATCAACTCCGCAGTCTTAAAACATTGTTGGTGCATGCTGCTGATGACGACCAGGTAAGGTTGCAGATTGATGATCAGCACGCAGTGGTAAAGAGGCTATGGGAGAAAAGTGCTCGGTATGCCAGCAAACTTTTGTCGCGCGCGGGGCATGCAGAGGACAGACCCTCTATCGTGGATTGGGATGGCTTCCGCACACACCCGCAGGACTGGGCCGGGTCGCTGACAGGCGTGTCAGCACAAGCCATCCAATATTGGGAGCCCACGACACACGCAGCCGAGCCCGACCTTGCTGGAAACCTTCTTATACCACTGGAGTGGACATGTGTACCCGTCAACCGCCGAGCAAGATTGGAGAATGCTTCACTGGTTAACTCTTGGATCTCCACTGCCAGGAACTATCAGACCAAATGCCAACGACACGCAGCTCGGGACATGGCCAGTTCTAGGAAAGCAGCACTCCGCAGATTGGATTTCAAGTCTTGGGCTAGAATGCTTCGCCCCCCTCTAGGTATGACCCACAAATACTCCCCTGAATGGGTAGTGGATGAAGGGGGACACCGCCGTCCCCCTGCCAATGCACAGGATGCACTGGAGGGGGCTGCGCAGGAGTGGGAGCGTCTTTTCCATGCTCCGCCCATCCCCTGGCAGCACCCCGCATTCCTTGCATGGACTGACAAACTTGGCAATAAACGTGGAGGCTTGAATTTCGAGCACCTCGCCAACACGCCGCATGCGGGCGACGAAGAGACCCTGCCTCAAGCAATCCTGGAACCCGGACCGTGGTGTATCATACGATGGCATCCGCATGCAGTGCGGTACCTGTCCGCCAATAGCGTTTCATTTCCAGGATGGGTTTTGTCGTGGGGGGGCACATTCATGGGATGGCAGGCACGTCGCCCCGGACCGTGTTCGGGGCCAGTGTTGCAGGTACTTAGCTTTGGAAGAGTGCCAGCAAGCGAGTGGACTATGGATCGATTCCGCCACATGGCTGACATTAATGTTTTACCATATGGGATTGCTTTGCATCCACACTCCTTCGCAGATCACTCCGCCCTACTCCGCCTGGAACCGGAACAGCGCGAGCACTGGATTCGGAGGATGAGATGGTCACGCCCTGGCCGGACGGGTTTTAAGTTGGCCTTCCTGCCCCTCCTCCCTACCTGGTGTCAGGAGCTGTTCTGGGAGTTGACAGACACGCAACGTGAGACGGCACTTATTGCACCAAGCAACAAAAAGGCCATCCAGATTAACCTCCCCAAAAGCTCGGGCGGATTTCGGCCGCTCAGTATGATGGAAGAGGCCTTCAAACTCATCGAAGGTCCCGTCACGCAGAGAATGGCCACATCCAGAAGCCTTTTGGAGCTTGGAGCGGTTTACAGCAACACTAATCTTGCCTATGAGAAGAAACACGCTGCCGCCACGGAAGTATTATACACTGACTGCATTTTGTGCGAAATCGCGGTCCGAACGGGTGCGCCGTTCGCCCGAGTCCCATCTGACTACGAGAAGTACTTCAACTCCATCTTGTACGAGGAAGTGGATGCCATACAACTGGCCCGAGGCATACCAGACATGGTACGCCGCTTCTACACCGAAGCCTTTCAAGGAATCACTGTAGCCGTAGACACTCGCTGGGGACTTACGCGCGACGTGGACTATCAACGCGGGGTGCCGCAGGGAACAATATCCTCTCCGGAGCTGTCCAAACCTGCTCAAGAGCCTATTCTGCGCATGCGGGAGCTAAGCACAGCCAGGTTCGTCACGGACCACGGAATCGGCGTGGCTGTCACTGCATATGCTGACGATGCCGAACATTATGCAGGAGGGATCCGACAACTGCCGCAACTGCTGCAAGAACTGGGTAAGGGTAGCGTGCTTGCCGCTGTAGGTTATGCATGGCCAAAATTTTCGGCCTATGCATCGGATTGGAATTCGGTGCTTGGTACTGAATGGGCGGCAAACCACGGTATTACCCACGATGGCATACGTGCCACAGGCTACGACATTTGGACGGGAGGCACGGTCACCACCGTCCTCCCTCGTTCCCACGCCGACTCTATCGAAAAACTATTGGGCAAACGAGGTACCATCAGCGACAAACACAGCATTGCGGCACAGGACCTCCTCGACAAACTCAGTCAGCTGCGGCAAAAGATGGCATTCAGGAACTGCGAGTGGGACGAGATTGCTGCGGCCTTCCAACTCATTGGCCGAGGCTACGTCTCCTACGCACCCCTGGTAGGCATCCCTTCCCCGACAAGCCTGCACTTACAAGATGCGGATTTGCAGCTCCTGATCCTTAAGCGCCTTCAGGTCCGATGTTCGGTGGAAAGAGTCAGCCTCCTGGCACCCCGGGAAATAGGAGGCGTACAGTTGCCATCCATGGTCGAGGCCATGGTGGCAGCAGTTGGCTCAGATTTGCTTCTGCTTTTAAATGGTAAAACGGCTTCCTCGGATCTTGCCAGAGCCGAACTACGTATGGCCATGCAACTGGACCCTGACACAGCTTCCGCCCATCAAGGTATCGTTTGTAGAGCAATGGTCTTTCTCGCAGGGTACGGAATCTATCTGTCGGTGTCCACTGAACGCCTCCTCTCCCGCCTCTTGGACCACCTCAAAACGCGCCTAGGCGCCCCACACGCCCAGTTCGTTGGTCCTGCAGATGAGTGGGCCCATCAGCAGGGAGCCCAATACTGCCGTGTTGGCCGATTCGCCAACTCACTTCGTCGGGCCCTGGATTCTCTCCGACAAGCCGTGGACACACGAGAATGGGCATTTGAACACGTTTGGCAGCAACACCTGGAGCGCTCATCTGGACTTTCACCCTCGGATTGTGCAGCGGCCATGCATGCCGCCACCACTGCTTCCAACTCGGACTGGGAGGTAGAATGCGGCCTATTCCACAGACCATATCCAAACGCGGAATCAAAAGAGGACTGGGCAACTGACGCCTGGGCCAACCCTTGGGCTAACAAGGTGGACTCGCGTAGTGACTACCTGGACTCACGGGTCGATGTCCCATTCCATGGTTTGGATTTCGGTATGTACAGTGATGGTGGGATGCTCCATGCAGGAAATTGTACATTCAGCAGTCAAGCTCGATCCTTTGGTGGTGTGGGGGACTATTGGGAATCCAGTCACGCCTGCACGGAGCGCCTTATCAGTCGTCTTCCCCTCAGGCTTGGATACGAAGCTGTTGGAGTACATGAGGCTGAAATGGCCGCTATGATTGCTGCACTCCGTTGGAGACGACCTGAGGGTTGGAATCTTTTGGTTGTAGACCGCAGCTCGCTCTGTCACATACTTCAACAAGTCAAGCTTCAGCGCCCCCCTGCACTCCTCGGCCTCACAAGTCATTTTCTGGTAGGCCGGTTGCAACGCATTCTGGCGGACTTGCGCTGCTCATGGCAAGAATCTACAGTAAAACCCTCCTGGAGACTCCAGCAGGAAGCCCTCCCAGCGATCTGGAATTGCAAACAGCAAAACAAGTGGATGTGCAACACTACTCATTGTACCGCGGGACTGGTGGCAGTGGACATCAAATCGCATCAAGAACATAGTGACATCCCACACCCTGTTATCACCCGAGGCAATGCACAGCAAGATGAAGGCTGCGGGATCGGACGCAGCCAAATGCGCCCACCCGATGTGAGGTACCCTACTGGTGGGTTCTTTGCTTTTCTTGTCATGGACGGTCGCGCCATTGGAAATCCCATTCGCAAGGTAGTCCGCACACAACTTCGTACTCAAGCATCGGCCCAGTGGGCACAGCGCAGGGTACAAGGCCATGTGGCAACGCAGTCGCAGGACATCTTTGGCCCTACACTTGACATGAGGTTGTTTACACAGGTACCGGTACCAACACCCTGGAAACATTGGCTGTTACCGACAGACCCAGACGATGGCGTGGACCTGTCCAAATTCCTCTACCGATGTGTGCGTGTCGTGGGAGGCTCCTGGACCGAAAGCCTCAAATCAGACACTGAATTAGCTCGGTTGGCAGCGCATTGGGCAGAGGCCAATCAGCTTGACTCCATGCGGACATGCCCGTTGTGCTGTTCAGGTGTCGGCACTCCTCGCCACACGGTTATGACCTGTTCTGGGATGCGCTACCTGTCCAACCTTTTGCGCAACGACATGGAAACCTTATTGGGGCAACTATAGTGGAGCGCGAGCAGCTTTTGCGTAGTGCCACGGCTTGGAGGCAGGAATGCCGACAGCAAGGCCGAGCTTGCCTTATCCCAGATCCCTCAGCTCAGGATGCTCGCGAATGGCCTGTTCTAGCTTCCTGGCGATGGTTGGTAACGCTTCCGGGCCGTGAGGCCTTGCTGAGCCAAGATGTTGGTGGTCATAGCGCGACAGCGGTGGCTCATGAACGCGGGTGGGATATGGGACACCGGGCAGTTCTCCCATCTGTATTGGGCCGGACCCTATGCCGCCTCCCACCACTTCGCACGGAACGGGAGCCATCAGAGGACTTGGAGGAGTACGCTGTGTGGCGACGCACGGAGCAGACAACACGGGAAGCAGAGCAGCTTCAACACCGGCACGCCCGCATCCGACCTGCTGTGCAGTGTGTATCCCTTCTCCTGCTGGGCTTGCGGCGAATTCGGGTGGAATATGCCCGCCGCATTAACGCCTGGAAACAAATACAGCTGATCATGGAGCAGGTGCGTATGCCAGTTGTGGCGCCTGTCCAGGTCCCAGCTGCAGGTGATGACAGGCCGCCATCTGTGTTGGACGCATGGTTTGCGACACCGCGCGGCCTCACCACGGCCCGCGAACTGCGTTGGTTAGCCCCTGGTTTATCGGTTCTAGTCGCTCGCATCAAGGCCGAATTACCAGTGTGCCGCCTCTCCCCGCACAATATCCAGGATTGTGCCGCCTCCCACCTTATCCCGATTACACAGCACGGTCAGCCAACTTGGTCGAATGAATGGCCCTGCTTTGAGGATATGCAAGTTGCGCTACGCACCCCTTGTACCTGTCGCCCCGATCTGCCGGATTCCATTTCATGCTGTTGGACGTGCGGAGGTGCCCAACTCCCCGCCGTTGGTCCACTCCGTATACTTGCCCTTACTGCCGCTGCAGCCGCGGTGGAACGCAGTGCCGCAACTGCGGCTGCACCGTCCACCTCATGGGCCAGTGTGCTTGGAATCGTGGGGCTAACCGATGTTACCATGGGGGTGCACTGGATGCGATTTCCCTCTGTCCTGATTGTTGGGGCGTTTGGCGCACGGCCCTCCAAGCGATGCCGCGGCGCCCGGCCAGATTGCTTGTGCCACCAGGAAATCTCCTGACCCACTTGATGCATTTGAGCCAACAGCGACATGCGGGGGCTGGAGCAGAAACTTTCTTTGCAAGGAGTGGTGATCGGCAGAGGGTTAGGCGTTGGTGCCTGCGTGCACTCCCCAGGTACTGGACTGCCTTGCCCGACCTCCTTTCTCGCGCAGAACGGGCTCTCGCTGAAGTGGACAACGTAGCAGAACTTTTACAGGATGGACTTCGCCACTGGACTCGAAGGGGGGAGGCAGATACTCAAGTCGCCCTCGGCGTACTGCACTTTAGACGACGCCCCACCGCATGATCTTCACTGCAATGCACTACTATCAAGAACACGCCTGCAACACAGACGACGTCGTCGACGACCTGCACAATGGCCTTTTTCACTGTTCATTCGACGACGAACGACGACATGGGCTGACGACCTCGTGAACGGCATCGACATCGGTAGAGAGTGACGCAACACAACTCGTTCTGTGGCTCAACACGAGGGGAAGCCCCACTATGCAGAGACATGTGACATGCGCTGTTTTACCAAAACTGAAGTGCTCCTTAGACATGCGCTTGATCTTTTGCACAGCTGGCGGAGCAGTTGCCTTAAGCTTTCCTCCGGCACTCGGATGCCCAAGCTTTGGACATGATGCCAGAGATGAAAGCTGGTCCGCCCGCTTCCCGCAGCCATTTCATATCGCTTGATAAAGACTTATTGACTTGCGGTGGCGCCCCGTTTGACAGAAGCCATCTTACTGCGCTTTATGGGCCCTGTAGATGTCGAGTTGTTTCTAGTCTCTTATTGGGGCTTGCAACAAAGAAGTCCCACACATGTGAGCCGCGGCATGGTGGAAGGAACGCCTTCCTAATGGTTGGTGGAGAGGCCTCTGACTGGTCAGGCCGACACTACTCTAGAAAAGCACGTCAGTGGAATCCCGATTGTTATACATCTCCGACAGTACCAGACCGCTGTGCTGAAGCTGCTAGCGGCGTGTCGTCCTGAATAGCCGACTCATAAGCATAAGGATTTCGCAACCAGCTGCAGGCTCCGGACTCGAGCATCGTTGCTGGACGTACACTGAGTGGCGCTGTAATTGCAATACCGCCGGACAGGCTAGCCTCGCACAGCCAACGGGGTCCATGCGTTTGTTTTCGCCTTCGCTGACTTTCTCGGGGTTGGGTTTGTCTGTTGTTTCTAGGCCCTCTCCTTTCTGCTCTAGAAGCGAGGCTACGCAGGTCTCAAGTCCGGTCGTCCGGCACCCGTGTGCACTTTCACATGGGAGTTCCAGAGCAGCAGGTTGCTATTGAAGAGTGTGGTGGCAGTAGCGGATTAATTTGGGAGTACAGGAAAAGTTGCTGACACACGAGCATGTGCCCTTCGCGGCATTTCCGACAGTTGAACCTTCTGAGGGTGCGAAGGTTTCTGCGGGTCTAACGGGGTTTTGATTGAGCCGATTGGAATCCACCTCCGTTGAAACGGATGCCTCTCACACATAGAGACCTGTGCAGCAGCTGCGGCAACAATCATGGCTCTGGCACGGACCCAAGCAATCTTGTTTCATGAAGGTCGGTGATGGTCATTTGCTATGGGTTTTCGCCTGCAGCCGTGTGACGCAGTCACAAGCACGGAATGAATCTATCAGAGGCATCTGGCTCTCTCCGCATTCCGAGGGCAATTTGATAGTGCCCAGTCTTGAGCGCCACTTCTCTCCGAAAGGGAAAACGACCGCACAGTGCGCTGAGGCTGAAGAGGCTCTGTATCGAATCGCATCCTGCATTGGATCCTTCGCTCTTGCATTGTCTTCCTGCTGCTGCCGCTGCTACGTTTGCTCTGCTTCGCATGGGGCCATGACGCTTGCGGAGCCCCATGCCCCGTTTGCGTCTTAACCCTTCGGGGCGGAGACAACGCGGGTGCCCGTCTCCTTGCCAGGAGTCGATTTCTCTCTCTCTCTCTCTCTCTCTCTCTCTCTCTCTCTCTCTCTCTCTCTCTCTCTCTCTCTCTCTCTCTCTCTCTCTCTCTCTCTCTCTCTCTCTCTCTCTCTCTCTCCCGGTAGTCGAGTTGTCCCGGGGTTGTGTGCTCTGGTTTCTGCTGGAGAACTCCAATACCTTGCAGGGGCACCCATACTGTGATCAGGTGATAGACCACCTCAGGTGCTGTTTGCCGTGGTTCTACTTGGATTTGCGTGTGGAAGACTCTGTTGATTGGGGGCCCATGCGGAGACGGCGGACTTTCATCCGAGGCCTTCGTTTGGACTGCTTGCCTCGTGGGTTCCAAGGCCCTTTGCCAGTGGTGACAGTGGACCAGCTTGGCCGTGGAAAGCCCGGAGTCACTTTTGCAGAAAGGCTTGCCACCCACCGACCCGAGCATGTTGTCGGTTGGGATGCAAAGGAACCTGCAGAGGTACAAGGGCATGGCATCCCAGTCTGAAGACCAAGGCCGCCCTCGTGTGGCCTGTGCAGAACTGGACCGTGACCCCACGAATGCTTACGGTCCTCGGTTCGAGTTGGGCAAGACCAGCAGCCTCCGGACTGGCGGCCCGGCTCTTTTTCTATTGAGCCTGGAAGACCTGCAACAGACCTGGGATAAACAAGAGCTGCACCGAATGCTCTCCATCCCGGAGAGGTTCTTGCTCATGGGCCACCCGGCAGAGACAGCAACAGTTTTTGCCAGTAGGGCAGCTGCAAAGAGAGCCTCCGGCAACGGCATGCACACGTTGGTGCTCATCCATAGTCCCAGATCCACAGCCACAGCTGCCAAGCGAAGGCGTCTCCGGGGAAAGACAGGCATCAATAGCAAAGAAGGCAAGCCGTGGGCGGATGCAGGAGTGTCGCCGGAGAGCTCATCCATAGTCCCAGTAATAGTCCAGCCACAGCTGCCGCCGGAGAGCTCATCCATAGTCCCATTAATAGTCCAGCCACAGCTGCCGCCGGAGAGCTCATCCATAGTCCCACAAGACAGGCCACAGCTGCCTGCCTGCCGGAGAGCAGTCCAGCCACAGCTGCCGCCGGAGAGCTCATCCATAGTCGTAGTACCAGTCCGACCAGTCCCAGAGCGAACCGTAGTAGCCATTTGGACAAGTTGGCAGTGCGTCGGTCATGCGGATGCAAAGCCATAGATCTCGATTAGGCCCGATTAGGCAGCCTTCAGCTTCTCATGGCAGAGTGCAGAAGCACAGCTGTCACTGCCGGAGAGCTCATCCATAGTCTGTAGTCAATTCGGTGTCTTAATTTAGTTAATTAGATCAGTGCGTGCAATGCAGGCCTCAGTTTCTTTAATCAGTTTAGCTGATCAGTGCACTTTGTGCAAAAGGTTTTCGATACAGGCGGATGGCGTGCTTCATGATGGTGCACTTCCTTCAGTCGCCAGGAAGTGTGTTCTGACAACTAGAGTGTAGGGCTTAGGCTTGACAATGAAATAACAATTGCTGGTTCAAGCAGCAGCACCTGACCGAGACCCCTCTGGCCTGGTGCCCTGGCCCCTTCTGTGCAAGTCAGCGAGACCAGCCATGGATGGGACCGGCGAACTCCTTTGCCGCAAATGCAACGAGCCCACCACTGTTTCGACTTCCCATGCAACGGGACGAAACGAGTTGCTCCGGATTTGCCAGGAGTGCGGCGGCACAGAGCGGATCTTGAACAAGCAGATCGCTCAGGATCGCTCAGGTAGGTAGTATTATTAGGGAGACCCCCTTATCGGGTACCCCAAGGGTCCCCCTAATCCCCTAATCCTAGCTCCCAACAGGCGAAGAGTTTGGCTCAGAAGAAAGCCAAAGAGGGTGAGCTCAATGCTCACGAGGAGGATCTGCTGAACAAGTGCCAGACTGCTGCGGACTTGAAGAAGCAGCTGGGGAAGATGACGAAGGAGGAGCAGCACGAGTGGTACAGGAGTGAAAAGAAGTCCCACCGCCAGGACGGTGGTGGTGGCGGTGTGTCTAAGAAGAGAACATTTGCCACCGCCGTCGGGGTTGTCGAAGACACTCGGCGGGCTTCCATGAGAAACAGCGAGCAGGATAGGTGGTGGCTTGAGAAAGACTGGGTCGCCAGAGAGATGAACTTGGGCCTCGTGAAGAGCTACGAGGATGGGCGGGCGAAGTTCTTGAAAAGGTGTCAGGATGATGACACCGAGAGCAAACAGTTGAGAGGCGTCTGGATGCTGAAGGAGTTTGGTGGCTTGCTGGGCGAGCTCGCACAGGAGCACAGCGTAGCAGGAACTCTTCGCCAGCGAGTGGACGTCACAGACCAAAACGAGCTGGCTGTCTGCCAAGAGCAGACAGCACAGAGGCTCAAAAAGGCCGGTGAAAGGCTGGCAACCGAAAAGGCCATGCTCGACCAAGGCATGGAAAACGCCTCGGTGCCGGGACTGCATGTCGCCCGAGACCTCGATCAGCTCAAGCAGGAAGAGGCTCTGCGAGATCAAAGGTGGATGGAAACGGTGCTGGAGAAGCAACAAGCCGACAAGGAAAGGCAAGAGAACAAGGGCAAGAAAAAGCCCGTTAGGGCAGTGCTCTTCCTGCAGATCAAGAATGCCCATGCCCGGGAGGAGACCATGCTTGCCTCCGCACACGGCAAGCAGCAGGAAGCCTTCACCGGCCTGAGAGAAGAGACTCAGGCAATGATGGCAGAGGAAGACGAAGGAACAAAGAAAGAGTTCCAGTCAACAATGGATGCACTCGAAGAGGACTTGGGCAAGCTTCTTCAATCCATCCCTGAGCTCGCAGCAAACCGGAACATCAAGGAGGAGGAGATGGCAACGACGGAGGACGATGACGAGCTGCTCAACTACCTGAAGGAGGCCACGGAGGCGTGCAAGAAGGGTCCTGGGGACTGGCCACAGCTGAAGGCGGTGCCTGCGATTGATTTGGAGGTTTAAGGTTTAAGGGGTTTGGGGTTTAGGATTTCAGGTAACGTATGTGGTTTGTAGTGTGTTGGTCGCAGTCGAACCGTTTTGTTGTTCCATTTGTTTTTTGCTCACCCACCAACCCAGGTGAAGGACAGGATGAAGGCCTTCCGAGGTTTGGTCAACGATGCCAAAAAGGCTTTGGCCAAAAAGGACTCGCTGGCCAAGAAGAAGGCAAAGAACAAGGCCCTCGCCGCTGCCACATCTGCGAACGGCACCTCGTCGCAAGCCGCAGCTGACGTCGCAATCAGCCCGGAGATGCTGGATTGTGTCTGCTGGATGCGAAAGGAGCTGTTGAAGCCAAAATGGGCGAAGCTTCAGAAAGGCAGCAACGGGGTGTGGTTCAATCTGCAGGATGATATGCTGGATCAGATGCCGGGCAAAGGCCCAGTGCTGATCCCTGCCGAGCAAATCACAGGCCTGCTCAAGAGTGTTCAGGATCTGGTTTACTACCAGTCCCAGAAGCAGTGGTTAGGAGAGAAGATGAAGACAGATGGCAGAGGTGTAACCACTGCGGTGATCGGACGAGAGGCAGTTGCGAAGCAAGTTCTCGGCTTCATCGCCAAGAGCCTGCCGGTGGCAGTCGCTGACCGCCTTTCGCTTCCGGGGGATGAAGATCTGCTGGACCTGTGGAGGCCCATGTTCTGCCAGTGCATGGGCGGCCGTGTGGACACCAGCACAGCCTTCAGCCTGCCAGAGCTGACGGTGCATCTCGAGGGGACAAGCGTTTTCTTCGCCGGCTTCCGTGCCAGCGAGGAAACACAGCTCGGGGACTTCAAAGCCCTCACGTCGCAAGAGTTCCTTGACCGCTGCGAGTGGTTTGCAAACTTGTCCTCCGGCCAGGGCATCGTCCTGCCGCCAGGGATGGTGTACATCATGATCAACACGGAGTACGACGTCGAGAAGGAAGACAGCCCCGAAAGCATTCCAGCCCACATGCTGAAGTTGTTCGTAATGACGGCGAGCTCCTGCAAATGGGCATCGACAAGCCTTGCAAAGGTGGTCGCCCGCACCCCCGAGCTGGGTGCCAAAAGAACAGGTAAACTTCTGAACCACTTCCTCAGCGTGCTGGACTAATGGACAAGAGGTCCATTGTTTTCTCCCCGGGCGTTCGTTGAAGAGGCAACGAACGGAAAAGCTAGGCATGCACACAATCTGTTGGATTGTGTTGCAGGTCAGCACAACATGGTTTCACTAGCAGGCTTGTGGAGAGCCATGATCCTTTCAAGCCGGGTGCTTCTTTCTTCAACTGTTGGGGAACCCACTGCCGTGGCATCAGATGAATCAGAAGGAAAAGTTCGGTTCCATAGGGGGGTCCATTGAAAAGCTAAGCGATTGTTCATTCAAGCACGATGAGGTTTTGGCCCACCATGTTTCGGCTCAAAGTCCTGCTTTCTCTAATTTGAAGACTAGATGATAAGTGTCTGCTGAGTCTGAGGCCACAACCACACAAGGATATGCTGAGAGCACCCTTGTTACAAACGACTGCGTAGTTTGCCGGTGCCAGTCTGGGAGGGTGAAACCCTCACAGCCGAGGCCACCTCCTACCCACGGATGGCACCTCCCCCCTGACGGTGGCTACAACTCCACGACAATGTCTTGGAGTAGTAGCCTCCGTCAAGGCAGAGGTGCTGGCCCGCTGGCTGTAGTAAGTTCCAGCCGCATTGTGGCGGTTATTATGCGAAGTCGATGATTTCGCATAATATCCGCCACCATGGCAGCTGCATTGCTCGTCTGGCAAATGGACTGAAGCCCGAGCTTCGATCAGCCATGATCGCATGCCGGCTGTGAAGACTGCGTGCTGCCTCATGTGTTCGATTGCGAGGATGCCCAGACAGCCAACATGGTAGGCTTAGCATATGCAACTGTTCTTCGGCAGTGACATCAGATGAACTCGATGGCCTGAAAATTAGTTTCGATTTGTTTCCATGGAGATGCTAAGCCTTTGCTTTGTGTTTTCTTTTTAACCCCCGAGGTTTTGGCTCAAACTCCTGTGTCACAGCTGATGTCTAAGATGAAGAGAAGCCTCGTAGTTGATGAGGAGACTTGGGACTCTGTCACGAGAGATCTCGAGAGCCGTGAAGCTGTGAGCTTTTCGACTCCTGAGACACCGGAGCAAAAGCTCAAGGTGAGCCGTGATTCGACTCCTGAGACACCGGAGCAAAATTTCAAGGTGAGCCGTGAAGCTGCGACTTTTTCGACTCCTGAGACGCCGGAGCAAAAGCTCAAGGCCAAACTGGGGAGTGCGAAATTTCGGATGCAGCTGCAAAAAGATCTGATCACTGCAATGCGTGCAAATATTGATCAGCTCCTCGAGGAGCGAAAGGCCCGAGAAGAGCACATCTGGGTCCTAAAGCAAAGGATTCACCAGCTGGAAAACTGTGCAAAGTTTACCAGTGACATGGTCGGAGGGCTGAACGAAGACTTAGGTGAACTGCTCGGCGTCTTGCAAAAGACATCAGCTTCAGAGTGCGAGGAAAGTTGTGTCATGGATGTAGAGGTGCTTGCTGTAGAGGTGCCTGCGTCAGATCCAGAAGAGTTCCCCGAGACCCAGGTCATCCCTTTCCAAGGGATGGCCCCTCCGGTGTTGCCTCCTGCGATCGATTGCGGTCAAGATGCCCAGCCGACTGACACTCTGGATACCATCATGATGGCTCGCTGGAACAATTATGCATAAGGCATAACTTTTTTGCACAGAGCTCGTGGGGTGAGAGCGAAAAAGGTGCAGCACGTGTGTGTGTGTGTGTGTGTCGTGTTTTGTTTAGGCGTCTAGGGGTTCGGGCTTTGGGATTGTGCTCTGATGTGTGTGTGTGTGTGTGGATTTCAGTGGGAATGCTTAAAACAACATGTGAAAGCATGAGTGCCTGGCTAGTAGGCCTGCTCGAGACCCTAGAAGGCAATATCGTGGGTTTTGGCAGGCAGCGATTTTGCACTTGCGTGTCTGCTGGGGTCGTAGCAACCTAGCTGAGCTGACGGGTTTCCCCGGTGCAAGTACTTGGTATGGGAAGTGGCCAGAGCACTTTTTCCGAATTTGAATTTTTTATGGCTCCGAAAACGAACCCCCCAGTCGTTTTGATGACAAACTTGAAAATCGCCTCGTTTTTTCCAAACCCCCTACTGGTTTAGCTCGAACCCTCAGGGGGGTTACCCCCCCCCACGGCTGTAGATGAGAACTTCATAGCTCAGCCTTCTCTCTCTATTCAGGCCGCGGGCCTGTTGCATAGTGCACTATGGCGCCTTCGTGCTGCTGCTACCTCTGAGGGATGGGACCTCCGGGCGGTAGTAGCCTATTGGATACGAGGACCACAAAAGAAAGAATTTTACTTCCCAGACCGGCTGTGGCGCTTCGCGCATTTCGACGCATTTGACTCGAAAGCGATGGTCCTCCTCCACCGGTTGGTCGCCAGGGAGGACAATCAGACGCAGGAGCTGCCGGGTGGCGAGCGTCCCTGGGTCAGGCTGGGGCATCCCTGGGCGCATGAAGAATGGAGGGCAGCGGCTGAGGAGTTCCACAGGCAAGGGGGCCTCGGACCGGGCCTCCAATTGCCGTGTATATCCACCGACCTAATGCCACATCTGCATGCCCCAGATCAGGACAGTCACCAATACACTTTTCGAAGAGTGAAGGAAATCTATCAGGACGGCAATTACCAGCTGCTCTATCTCTTAAGGGAGAGTCACTTCCCTTCGAGCGGTCGTGACATGCAGCGCCTACTTGATAGCTGGCCGCGCTAGGCGGTAGCTGGCCTTCCGGCTGACGGTTTGTATACAGCCGGTTGTGACCGACGACATACGTCATTGTGTCTTTGTTTCTGGAGCAAGCGACACCTGGGGTTACTCGGCTTAAGCGTGCTTTGCAGAGGCGGACTCAACGACGTGGGCAGGCAGGCCCCCGCCACCATGTCGTTGCACCCGAGGGTTGGATGCCGGCCACGCTTGCCTGTGGGCCTTGGAATTCTGGCTCTGGGTGCAGTTGCTACGGAACCAATGGGATCAGGCGGTTCATCACTGTCTGCGCTCGTTTTCCCCCCTGGGAAAACCGTTGCGACTGACGACATACGTTGTTGAGTCTTTTTCTCTTGTCCCTCATGCCCTCGGCACCTCGATGGTGCACCGTCACCTGGTGTTCGAAGCTGGACTTGGTGTGCACGTTCGAGCGGAAGGGTGTTTGCTCCTTAGCTTCGCCGCCTGCCGGCCTTCACCGCTTGCCCCTTCACCTGCCAATCGGTTTACTGCCACCACCGAATGGTGTCTTCCATCGCCATAGCCGCCACAACCGTGCGGCGATGCCGTGGAAGCAGTGACCTGCATGTCAATGTCCACCTTGGCGATCTCTGCTCTTTAGCGGCTGACCCTGTGTCCCAACTTACGGCTTGCGACATTGATTTGCTTCTGCTGGAGGCGGTGTCCATGTGCACCATAGCGGACTGGGCGCACAACTTGTCCCGCGTCGGACCCCGGCAGGTTGCCTGTGTGGGTGTTGCCCACATTTGTTGCCAGTGTTGCATCCGAGACCGTTTTTGTTCTTGGCACGCCTTGTGACGTGATGGCGGTTGCCTAGGCGGGTCACTTGCCTGCGACACTCGTCTTCGCACTCCTCTTCCGGAAGCCGCTCACGCTGCAGTGGGCCGTGGACTTTTGGATTTTGGTGTGCACGATCGCGACGGAACAAAACGCAGGGGTTGTCCGTTGTCTGCCGAGACTAGAACGGCAACCGGAGTCTGGACTTGGCTCCACCTGTTGTTTTGGGCAACTCTGAGCGACGGCTCTTTGTTGCTCCTGACCGGTCGCTGAGGCTCCGTAGTTTGGTGCTGAACGGCTACCACCGGCAAAGCCTGTGCGCCGCAGCCCTTTGTAGAGCTTCGTTTTCTGTCTCACCGCTTTGCCAGTTTGTAGTTTGTAGATTGTTGTTTGTGTTTGCTTCGCTTGTTTGTAGGGACCGAGTGCTACAGCCGTAGTCGACGAGGCCCAGTCAAGCCAAAAAAAAATCCGAAGTACTGGGTGTGTGTCTTTTATTTTGATTCAACGCAGTGAAACGAAGCGTGGTTGAACTCAAACAAAGGCACAAAGAAGAACCTGATTGAGCAACACAAAGAAGCGAGAACATTTTGCACCGACATACATACGTGACGATTGGTGCTCAAGAGTCTCCCCAATCGTGGCCATGGCTTCTGCTAACAAGACCGACATGGCGGCGACCATTGACGATTGGACAGCAGAGGTGGTTCCGGCTTGCTCTTCTTCCCACGTTACCAGGGATTGCGGGTGGCCATGAGCTCGCAGCGATGCTGTGAGCAGCAGGATTCACCGTCAGCCAAACTTATAATCTCGTGACACGGAAGACTCATTAAGTGTCTGTGCACACCTACACGGCAATTTTAACACAACAGAAAAGAATGAGAACAGATTCATCAGCTTTCCAGAGATCACGATTTCCGATCAGGTTTCTGTTGTTTCTGTGTCCATGCGAAGATGTCTGCTTGTGCGTGTGTTCGAATGTGGAGCTGTGAGAAGCATGTGTGTGTGTGTGTGTGTGTTTGTGTGTGTATGCGTGTATGTATTCACAAGCATCAAGTCGTCCATCCTTCACCATGCCCAAGTCAATCAGAATTTCAAGCAGTTCTTTGGGAGAAAAGGTCAAAATGACGTCCAGAGAGAAACGCTGGATCAAAGACGATCTGCTTAAAGTTGCTTGTCTGCCTTTTTTTTCGCTGTGGACTTTCCTGGCGAGGATCAGTGTACCCACGTCGCAGCACCTCATTTTTTGGATTCAAACATGTCTTGCAAGGCTGCAACGCAGGTCTCTTCATGGGGTTTGCTCTGGAGGAAGAAGCTGGCTCCGTCCGGGTCCGATCATCCTCATTCCAAGCTCCAGGTGCCATTGCTGTCGTCACTGTTCGCGCCCGCCCAGTTTTCCAAAAAGTTTGATCCAAGAAAAGACTGCAACAACATTTTTTGAAACCCACACCCACACTCTTCCAGCTTCTCCACACACACACACACACATGCACACGAACACACACACGGTGTGCAGCCACAAACTGGCGTATCGAGTCCAAGGGAGACCACGCCTGTTTTCGATGCAGGAACAAGGATTGTCAGGCATCTAAGTCGGGTTTGAGCGAAGACCAGGACATCTTCGGCAAAAAGATCACCCTTCGTTCCTTGGTTGGTGCTCTCTGGCTGTTTCTTGCACCCATTCAGATGAGTCCAGATCAGACTGGATTGATCTTGGGTTTGGATCATCGGACAGTGCGGGGTCTCTTCAACAACTTCCGCTCTTGGTTGAGTCCAATAGTTGACCGGCTGAACGAGGACTGACAAACTTTTATGCTTGGCTTGATTCTTAAGGCCATGACAAGATTTAGAAGTTGTAGTTACAACTTTAAAGTGCTCGATGAAGGACTTGGGGGATTGGTGCGTTGGGTGCAGATGTGGAGCTCGATGAGATTAGCTTCAGATCGAAGGCGCTTGACGACAAGATCCTGTGGAATCGTTATGCCGCAGCCGTCAAGCGTGGAAGTGCTAAAGCCTTCATAGAGAAGTTGCCGAACCGCTTGACTGCTGCTGGGCAGGGGGGAGGGGGACCTCTGTCCATTGATGAGCTTAAGAAGCTTGTAGTCACATCCAAGGGAAGCAGTCGCTTGGCACAAGGTTCTGTGTGCCATACGGATTCCGCTAAAGCTTACAAGAAGTTGGCCTCTGACGAACCGTTGCCAGCTTTGTACAGCGGTGCCTTGGCATGGCCTTCGTTTTCTGAGTTGAAGCTAGCCCACAGCAACGTCAAGCATAAGCCGCCTCACCCAGAGTTTGCCCGAACGTTCCGAATGAAAGTTTGGACAGGGCGCGCTTGGACCGAATAAATTAGGGTAGGTGGCACTCAGAAGCTTGATGGCTTCTTCGCATCGTTTAGAAGAGAGGTGGGCAAGCGGTTTTTCAACACAACAGGACCCACTCCTGAAACAGCGCAAACTTTCGAACAGCAGCTTCAGGCTGAGCGAACAGCTGTCGGAAGTGCTTCTTGGGAAACTCTAAAGCCATTTTTGGGTGATGGAAAGGCGCCAAGTGCCGAAAACCCGCAACTTGTTGAAGGGCAAGCTGCAGGGGCAGCAGCTCCAAATGTCCAAGACATTCCGGCTGGTGGCGCTGATGTGCCCCCCGATGATGAGAATCCTTTTGCCGATCTCGAGAGTGAGCCCGAAGTTTGCGAAGTTTCGGATGCCGACAAGGATGAAGGCATTCCAATTCGGTTGCTCAGCTGAAACCGCAACTGCGCCGCTGCCAGCGCAGAAGTATGCTTTGCAGCTCTTCTTTTTGAACTTTGCGAATTTTAGGACCTTTAGGACTTAGGATGTTCTGTTAGAGATTTTGTTTTTAGTTTTTGTGATAGCAAAAATGGGTTTTGGGCGCTTTGGCCAAGAAGTCAAAAGACCATACGTGGTTTTGAGAGTTTGGCTCTGACTTTAAAGGTGGTGTTGACTGTTCGGTCTCGCAGTCACAGCAGCAGACGTGCTTCTGAGAGACTTGACCTGAGACCCCAAGGTTTTGAGGCTGTGTTGACTGTCTGTCTGGACCCAAAGTCAAAGTAGCAGACGTGGTTCTGGGAGACTTGACCTGACAGGCGAAGGTTTTGAGGTGGTGTTGACTGTCTGGATTCGCAGTCGCAGTAGCAGACGTGTTTCGGGGAGACTTGACTTTGGAGTCCAAAGTCAAAGTAGCAGACGTGGTTATGGGAGACGTGACCTTAGAGGACAAGGTTTTGAGGCGGTGCTGACTGTCTGGACCCAAAGTCAAAGTAGCAGACGTGGTTCTGGGAGACGTGACCTGACAGGCGAAGGTTTTGACGTGGTGTTGACTGCATGGATTCGCAATCGCAGTAGCAGACGTATTTCGGGGAGACTTGACCTTGGAGTCCAAAGTCAAAGTGGCAGACGTGGTTCTGGGAGACTTGACCTTGGAGGCAGGTTTTAAGGCACAAATGTGGTGTTTGGAGGCCTGCCTTCCAGGCAAGGGCTTGGCAACCAAGTCAGGGTGTGCGCCGCTCCAGGCGCCACGCCTTCAGAAAGGTGCGCCAAACTAGCCGGCGGAGCGGTTTTGGGTGCACTTGCCAGCGAAAAAGGGGGCGTGGCATCTGGAGCGGCGCGGCTGACGGGGTTGGTTTTCGGGTCATATTCAGCTCGGTGCTTTCTGCCGCACGGTTCTTGAAAGTTGCATCACGGTTGCTTTGCTAGTTTCAACTTGACGGGATGGTGATGTGCGTTTGCAAGAGCACCAAACGTGTTTGCGCATGTTCGGGTTTATTCGACCCATGGCATGTGGAGGACTGGAGCTTGAAAGTTTGCGCAAGCATGGGATCGGCGGCTGAGCTTGCGGCCACCTTATCGCAGTGTACGCGGAAACCACGATCCGCGTGGCGACCACCTCGCATGCCGCTCTCCGGTGTTACACGGGCGAAAGGCGGCACCGTACGAGCGTGCTGCCGGAAGTTGGGGTGGCAGTCGTTCTCAACGCGCTTGTCCGGGACTTCAATCTGGACTCTGTTCGTATAAACGGCCGGCACATTGAAATTTTAGTTGAGGGCGTGCCGTTGCAGCGGGGCTTTCTCACAGCGTTCTGAGCCAGGAGCACGTATATGCCTCTAACTGTGCAGGTCCCACCGTGGCCGCTTACTGTCGTTGCGGCCGCGACCACGCGCTGCCGCCATCTCGGCATTTCGCTCCGGTAGTTTGCGCTCCTGTGCTTCGTTGCCGTGTATCTTTCGCCGCTAGCTTGCGGTTTTTGCTGTTCACTGGCAACAAAACGGTACTGTATGCAACGGTCAAACTTCAGTGCTGCACCATGCTGCACCCCGGCTCGCCCCTAGGACTTGGCGGCTCCTCGTCATTTCCCGCCATTGCCGATAACTTTCCAAACCGAGCTCGTGCCCCCCCGGCAACCCAATTAGTATAATTGCGGTTAATGTCTCAGCACTCCGCCCTCTTCATCTCCTCGTTGTCCCTGCGGGCCGCAACGAGCTCACCAGCACCAGTCGAGGATGGCAACGGGTCAGCCGTGTTGTCGGGCCACCTCCATGCGAGTCTCCGTGTGGGCGCTTGTTTCAGATCACCCGTTCGACGCCGTCGCTGCTGCCGTTCCAACATCCCTCTGGCACAGACAAGACGGCACTGGTCGAAGTGGCAGGACGCTGTGCGGCCAAGCTGGGCGAGCTGGCGCATCAAAGGCATCTGCCAGAGCTCGGGGCGGCCGGGGCCGTGGGAAGGGTTCTCCAGCCCCCACGTGCCCTTCTGGTCCCACACAGCCGACAAGGAGTCGAAGGTGCGCTCGACCAGCGTGTTGGCGTCTCGCGGTCGTTCAAGGACGTTTGTCTCACCGCGCTGCTTGCTGCTCATGTTTGTCGCGAGGCTTTTTGGTGCGCGAGTTCAACATCCGCTGGAGCGTTTCGATCGCTGACCGCACATCCGTGTCATCGCCTTCAGGCTTGCGGCGGAGCAGGCTGGTTAGTGGTTCCTGCGCTTCAAGTTGTTGACCATCGCAGTTGGAATTTCTGACAGGGCGACCCAGCCTTCTCAATTCGCGCTGCAGACACGCGCAGGCACTGACGCCCTGTGTGGCATGCTCCGAGCCGCTGTCGATCTCGACTCTGCGGCAACCATGGTGTCGCTCCGAGGCCGCTGTGCTTACAATACCGTCTCGCGTGGTGCATTCATCCGCAAGCTGCACGCCGTCGCCCCAGAGCTCGTACCCTTCGTGCGCATGTTGTGCGGCCAGTTGCTCGCCCATTTCTAGGGCCCCAGGAATGCCAGCGACGCACCATCCACCAGGGCAAATGGGTGCGACCAGGGGAACACTTTCGCTCCCGTGCTGTGTGCCCTCGGCCAGCACGACGCGTTAATCGCCGCCGACGCACAATTGCGCCCTGGCGAATTTGGCCCACCGCTGGACACCTTGCTCCACCATGAGGACCCCGCCGGCCAGAGCTGCCTGCCGTTAGGCCCTGACAAGGGGCGTAGCGTAGTCGGTCCTCTGTCGGGTAGCTTAGTCAGCTGCGACCGCGGCTGCAACCGCTTTCGCTCGACAGCTCGAAAAGGTCGATGCTAAAAAAAAAAATCTGTCGCCGCCGTCTTCGACTCTTCGACGACTTTCAGACACCACGTCACTTCGCCGCCACGAGCGCGTGAGGCAATCGACATCGTTTCTAGTTCCATTGAATTTTTTACCGGACTTTTACGCCTGCACGGCTCCCGAGGGTCCGTCTACCTGTCCGCCGAAACTACAGTAGGCTACCCCGCTACGGCCAACTAGCGCAATGGCAACCGGCTCGGCCCCGCCGCTTCGGCGAGGTCGAGCACACGGTCCAGTTCCGGGCCCTGCCACTGGCTTGCGTGTGGCGGGGCGGGCCACGGGCTGCCCAGGGCCGTGCTGGCTACGGCCTGCTGCGCCGCGACGGCTAAAGCCGCCCACTACCGTCGTGTCCAGGCGGAAGCGGCAGCGGCTCGCAGCGCCGGTGGTGCTGCTCAGCAACTCGCAGCATGGCGCCGTCATGCGCCGCGGTGCCGCGTTGCGGCTGGCCCGTACGAGTGAGTGGCGACACGAGGGTTCCATTGATTCAGGCGCAGCCATTGCCGCTAATCTTGGCAAGACCCGGTTGCGACGTCAGACTCGTGGCTCTTTCGGCTCGCGAGGTCTGGTTCCAGCCTCTGCCGTCATCGCTGTCGCTGAACGGCTTGAGCGTGCACGTTTTTTTTGAGGTGATGCTGCGACCAGGGCCACAACGACTCTCTTCCCCTGCGAAGTTGGCAGGTGCTGGTCGCTCCTTGTGCCTTGCGGCCAGGCAGCCGCTGGTAGATACGCTGCTCGGGGGCCGTGCGGCGCTGGCGCAGTGTCCCACCGCGGGAAGATCCTCCGCACTCCCAGCCTCCATGGCCTGCCGTGCACAGGTTGCCTCGGACCTCCATTTTGCAGACGTCAACAATGTGCGGTTAACAAACAAAAACTTTAGGTTGCCCATTCGTCCGCTTCCTCGCGTGTTGTGGCTTGGAACCATGGCTGCGCTTTGACGTCCTTTTCCTGGCTTGTTTTGACGAAACCCCGGCTAGGGCCTGCAGATTCCCGGCCCGTGAGCTGGAGCATTGGACGTGGAGGACACCATCTCGTTGAAACGGGGTGTAGAGGCAGTATTTTCTCGTTGCATACGGACCAGGGACCGCAAAGGCTCATGAACAAAATGTGTCGACGTCCTTGAGCGACATCCTCGTTCTCGTCGATTTACCGTCGCCCCTCTACGTGAGAGAGCAGTCTTGGGCATGTGCCGCGCGGCTTCGGACATCGGTAAAAATCGGTGTGTGAGAGAATTGTGGGAAATTTGCCCTGGTACCGGTCTGTTGGCTCGCACGGCAAAAATTGTGGAACGCATGTGCCTTGGGAGGCCGTCGGCCACACAAACGCACTTGACGTCCGCTCTGAACACCGGCGCCGCTTGGACCTCGTCATCTACGGCGGGTGTAGGGCGTGTAGGGCTTAGGGTTTACACCAAATGGTTCATGTGAGTTTATTTTCTAGCCCAGGACTGAAAGCAAGGCCACGCTGGGAGCATCTGAAGCGTCGTACACCTTCTTATTTCAGCACTTTGCTGAAAGCGCCGAAGATCGACGGGAAGGTGGAGCCGATGTCTGCAGATGCGTTTTCGGGCCATGTGTGGTCCAAGTTTTCGTTCGTTCAGCCTTGCTCGAAGGAGGGCTGTTCGAACTCCAGCGTATTGTCGGCCATCCACCGTACGACGCCAAAGCTGCTGGGTACAGCTGGCATGTAGCTGGCAGCTCCGAAATGGCTGGGGATGGCTTGGGGCTACTAACAAACACACTGCGTGGACAGAGCGGCGCCAACCGAGGGGGAAAAAATAGGGAGATGTGCGAAGTGTAGCTGCTTGTTTTGTTCATGCCGAGTGCATGTGAAGCCCGTGTGAGGCCTGTGCCAAGCCCTTTCACGATATACATTCCCGTAATGTACATTCCAAGAGGTGCCTGTCAAAACCATTTGGGCGAGGGGGTGCGCGATGCCTGTTGGCGGGGCTCTTTGCTGGGACGCGACCCTGGTTTCGCCGCTGCCAGTATGGCACCAACGCCTGGCCCACGCCAGCGATGCAGCACGTCGCATGGCTGGTGACCTGATCCCGGGGCAGCTGCTGCGCACGGCATCCCAGCATCCTCCAACCTCGCTCCCTACAACACCACGAGCTGTTGCGGGCAACCAGCGTTCAGCTCCGCGTGGGCGGCTCGCTCCCGGCGCTCGAGCGGGAGTGGATGCGCGTCGGCTCGACTCCGCGCAACCCTGGAAAACGATGCTCGAACCACCGTTGTCTCCTGGATGGGCGGAGTGCATACGACTATCTCCCGGGCGGCGTTTCTGCGCAAACTATGCGAGGTGGCACCTGCACTTTTGCCCGTCGTAAGAGTTTTGACGGCCAGACGTCGGAATACCAATGGTGGGACGCTGACGGGGTCCGCCACGTCATACGCCAGGCGGAGGGTTGCGAACAGGGCGACCCCCTCGCTCCTGCCCTCTTCGCCTTTGGCCAGCACGAGGCGTTGCGCCGGGCAGACTCGCAGCTGCAGCAAGGTGAATCGCTCATTGCTTTCCTCGATGACCTTTACGTCCTCCTGCCTGAGCCCAGTCGTGCGCGCGCCGCCCTGGATCATGACGGGTGCGGTCGAGACGCATGCGGGCATATCCGCGAACTTGGGCATGACGCGTATCTTCAATTACGAAGATAGCCCGCCGCCGCCAGGGATCGCGCATTTGGGAACCGCCAGCATTCCGCTCCAGCCGTGCGCATTGCCTGGCGGAACGGGGCCGGTGCACTGAGAGCCTTCGCTCGCGCAAGGAAGCAGATGAAGTCAGCGGCCTCAGCGCTTCATCGCCCGCCGGTCTCGATGCCAAACACGACGAAACGACAACGGCGGGAGCGCAAGAACTCAGGGTACGTCTCGCGCCGTTTCTTTCGCTGAGCTCGGGCGAGCGCGACGCCTGGTCGAGCGTCAGCGCCTGGGTGAGGAAACCCGTCGCGTGAGAGTGGCGAGACGATCGTGCAGACGACCTCGATGCGGCGTCCGTCGCTGATCGGCACGTCGACGTTCATATCAGCGACGCGGACGTTGCGGGCGACCCGGGCGCCTCCCTCGCGGCAAACACGGGCCAATGCCCGTTCCAGCGGCAGCGCTGGGGTTGGGAGTGCACCCGACGTGGCGCAGGCTGGTCACCCTGTGCATCGAGGCCGCGACGGCAGCTGCAGGTCCGTGGGCCAGAGGCAGGTGCAACCAGCGAAGGAGGAGAACACGAAAGAGCGAGCCCGAGACCCCGTGAAGTCGTCCGCAGCTGGGAGGACGGTGAAAGCACGAGCAGCATTTGGTCCGGCTTGGGAAAGCAGCCAGGCGCGAGATGCTGGGGAGAGGTCAGAAAGATGCGTTTCAAGCGCGTGCTCATCACAAGCGCGGGCATCGGCGTTGCCATCCACGCAGGCAGTCGGACGGCTCGCGGAGGACGAGTCATGCCCCGCTAAGGACATCGCTTTGCTCCTTGCCAGCGTGGGAGGTTTAGGACTGTCGCAAGCCATGCGCACCAGCCCCGCGGCGTACTCGGCGGCTTGGGCCGATGCGCTCACAGCGCTCCGCGAACGGTGCCCGGCTTTTACGGACTGGGCCGCCCGCTGCCTCGCTGACGCGCCTGGCCCCGCATGCCTTCGGACAGCTTCTGCGGCCCGTGGGTTGCTTGCAGCCGAAGGCTGGACGGATGTGCCTTCCTGGGAGAGCGTGGTTCAGGGAGCCAGCCGACCCGACCGACCTGACGGGATCGCCGAGCCCGTGAATGGAGGCATGGGTGGCAACACTTTGCATCGCGTGCATGGAACTTCCGCGACCACCGCCTTCTCCGCGCGATCTTGCGTTCCCAGGCCGGTCCGCATGCCGGCGCGTGGCTTCAAGCCATCGCTGAAGATCCCCACACGTCGCTCACGCCCGAAGCCATGCAGATCGCGTTACGTCGCAGGCTGGGCTTCCACTCCCGCTCGCGCCAGGCCGTTGCGGGAGCACCTCGCAACCTGGGTGCGGCCGCCGCGCCGATGCACTCGGAGACCATGCACTTGCATGTCGTGGACAGGCCTCCTGGCTAGGCGGGCTTGGTGCAAAGTTGCTCGCGAAGCCGTAGGGCCTGAGGGACACGTGGTGCCCCGACAGTGGCTCGTCAACACAACTGCGCCAGGAATCGCACCCGATGACCGCAGGCGCCTCGAGCTGGTCATCTACGGCGCTGCACCCCTGGGCGGAGCCCTTTGCTGTGATGCGCCGCTGGTTTCGCCTCTCACGCGCGATGGCAGCCTCACGGCGTGGCCACACAAAATGGGGCAGTTCTGCGCACCGCTCTACGCAAGAATGCAACCCACCGCGAGCTCGCCTCAAGCGGCGCGCAAACCCTGTGCGTGCTCGGTTGTGAAGTGGGTGGGCGGTGGAACGCGGGCCCGCCGCTGGTGGAGCATGCTCTGTGTGGCCGTCCAACAACCCGTCGGCCTCACAGCTCGGGCGTGCTCGGGCCATGCCGGGACCGGCGCAAACCGATGTGCCGGCCCTGGATGAGGTCTTGGACTTGCCGCTGCGATGAGTCGGCCCTAACCGCGGACCGACTTTTCTTCAGTGCTTTGGAGCCGGACACAGCCGCTGGCGGAAACAGGTGTGTGGGGAAAAAAAGCGCCGAGTGAAGTGGTAATGGGCTGCACAAAGATTCGTGTGTTTGCAACCGGTTGGGAAACACTGTTGTTTTTGGAAAGATATGTTGTTTCATAGCTAGACTCAGGCTAGACTTTGGAATCGCTGGTGGTCTGTTTTATAGATGGTCTGCTTTATAGAGGGTGTCTGTCGTTGCGGTTTCCTGGCTTCACGAATCGTGACATTAATCTCGAGATCTAGTCGGTCTTTCGAACTTTGAAACCCAGATCGGCATTTTGTTATCGTTCCGATGCTTCGGAACGGTTCCGGATGGTTTGGGACTGTTCTTTTTTTGGCTGTTTTTGAACAGTTCCTGAGATTTGCCTGATGGTTCAGAGTCCCTATTGGCGCACACACTCAAGCAACTTGCCGGGCATTCCAAGCTAAATCGAGTATTCGCAAGATGCTAGAAGGCCATTTGAAGCACGCAAACATGAGCATGAATGGGGGCAAGCCGGTTAAAATTTGCACGTGTTGGCATTACTCACCGCCCTATCCATGTTACATAGTCTTTCCTTGTTTCGTTCCGTTTGCGATGGCTTTGCAACTGCAGATTCGATCCTTAAGTGGCAAGATATTATCGTCGCCCGGAGTGTTGGAGGTAGGTGAGGGTCCCGCGCACGGTGTAAGCTTTGGGATAGCTGTTTTCGTTTGTCATGTTCATGTCTCCTACGAAGCCAAGGCTGACAGCGAGTTCGGCAGAGACAGTTTCCAGCTTGATGTCAAGGGTGCGTACCATGATGGGAGATGCCACGCGGTTGCATGGAAAGTATCTTTGCATTTTTATGTCAATCGTCGGCCATATCCGGGCGTGATGCGGTACGATGGGGTCATTTCAATTCAGGAGAAGTCTTCGTGTGGGCTGATTTAATGTGGCTTCCAACTTCGATAAATCTGTACACAACGCTTTTTTTTTTTTTTTTTGGCGCCCAGGTTGCCGATGACGGACCAAGTTTTCGGCTATGTTTGGTTACAGGCCTGCTGTGAGCAATACCTTGGCGTGGCAGCCGTGCTTGTGCAAAGCATTGGTTTCGGAAAGTGCGTGGAAAACATACCTTGTAAATCCATTCATGCAATCGATCGGGTGCCATTGCAGATGTCGAGCTGGCAAGGGGATGGCATGACCGTCTTGGACGAATCAACTTCCCTCACTGTCTCTGGTAGCTGAGCGGAATTGTGAGCATGTGCTGCTGGTTCTGCTGGCTTTTGTTCGGCATGGGCGAACCGGTCAGCCAATATCTTTCACTTGACATGCAAAGGTGTGCCTGACGGAGCAACGTTGCTTGCGAGACGCTACTTGGCGATCCAGCAAAGCTTCATGCGTGTGGAGAGTGGCTTTGTGAAGTTTCCAGGTCCGCACCACGTGGCGCGGTTGACATTTGAGAAGAAGAGCGAAGCTACCCGACCGATGTTTTGGCGATGAGAATTTCCGTGCATTGCTGCATAATTTGCACGAGCGCGGATATTGGACAAACCATTGCTTTGAACGTGTGATGCGGTATACGTGCGTTGAAGTAGCGTGAATCAATGCCTTGCAGTGTAGCCTTGCATTTTGCACCGCGTGTTGGCTTCAGCTGTCGGTATGCTTTCGGCACCATGGCAGCCATGGATGCCAGCGTAAGTTTAGCACCGTTCGCTGAGGACGTGAACCTCTCGTGGGGTTGCCGATATGTGCAGTCTTCCCAAGAACGGGTGCTCGAGCACTGCACCCCATGCCGCAGGACACCGCCCAAGCCTCCAAAGAGCAGCCGACACAGAAGGAGATTCGCTGTCGACGACTTGTGGCAGAGACTGCGAATCCTAGTTCCCGCTATGTGCCTTTGTCCAATGCTGAGATGGGTCTTTCAAGTTCTCACGATCGCGGGGTCTGGGAGGATTCAGCATCGCACGCATAGCAGCCCTGAAGCTAGGAACTTGTCTCCAGCAGCATGTTTCGGATTCGTGTTGGGAGGGCCGATGCGGACCTGTATGATGCAAGTTTACATCATCTTTGCCAGCGTCTGTGTGTACGCCCAGGTTGGCAACACGCCGAAAGAAGAGCTGCTGCTGGAACATGTGGCTTGCAGGACAAGATTTCACATTGAAATTTTCTTTCCATTCCTGTTCGACGATGGGTTGGGGCAGTCGATTTTTCGAATCTTCGGCTGCTTCTCCGGCTACGGTTGCTCCCAGGTGAGGGAGTTTGAAGACCAGTTCGTCAATGTCTATGGCAACCGCTTCCTCTTCCTTTGCCCACCAAACGAGTTCTCCCGTTTGCAGATAAGTAGCTGTTCCAAGCATGGCTTCATTTTGATTTTGTCCGACCAGGTATGGTGTGCCCAAGTTTTTGCCCACCACACTGCGGCCGACGCAACGCGGCTTGAAGATTGCGATTTGCCTCTTTGACTCACAAACACATTTGGTCGTATACATGTCTGCGACGAGCCCACGTGACCAAGGCATCTTCCGTACCAAGAGCTTTACGAGTACAAGTCTTGTGCAAGATTTCTTGCTGACTTTTTCAATTACGTCACTCGGTCGGATGTGACAACATGTTTTAGCAGCTTCCGCGGTTGTGGGCCAGGTGCGCGGGTTCATAGTCCTCCCGGCAAATAGGAACTGCCAACTCAAGGATGAGCTCCACCCGGCTGACAGATATCCCACAGTGGTGCCAGCTCCAGCATCCGTGCTGAATTGGCAGGCATGGGCCAGAAGAACGGGCAGAGAGGATGGAGAGAAATGATTGTTCATGTGTTGTGGCCTCCTATATAATTCTGCTGTCCGGAGGCGGGTGATTGCTTTGATCTATCCATTGCCCTTGCCTCGTTGCTCATTGGAGTGGGTTGCTTGGCGACGAGGGAGGACAGGCAGGCACCGCGGAGACCAAAGAATCGCTACTTTGACTCTTGGCGTTGTCCCTGCCAAGGTTACGACGCCTACTGCGTTAGTGGATTCGCACCCAGGTTCATCACAACTCGTCACCTGGCTCTGTTAAAATGCATTTCGGTGAAGTGTCCCGGCTGAATCCTGACCCAGGCAACGAAGCTCGCAGTGCATGCCCACAGTTGGATGCCGACATCGAGGAGACCAAGGAAGAGGACAAGCAGGACGGGAGCGGGCGATGGTAGCGAAAGCAGTCGTGAACCATTCATCAGAAGCAGCTTGAGGTGAATGAGATGATACAGTTAGAGACCTACTGCCTACTGCCCCAAGAGATTTATTGGAGTTGTTCCTTGCACGTTGATGAGCCAGAGTTGCATCAATACAAATGTCAGGAGTCAGGATCCACCAGGTGTGTGGATAACGGCGTGAGTGAACCTTTCAGGTGATGTTGTCATCGTTTGCATGAAGCAATTTCAACAATTTTTTGATAGCTTTCGGGAGCAGTTCCCCGCAACCATCATTCGGGGCTTGCTGTCTCCAGAGTGGCACGCATTTGATGGTCAGTCCTGAACAGTGAAGGGGGGCATGGGAATGGCCTAGCACGGGGATGCCGATCTCTCCAATACTATCTGGGGTCATGAGTAGCAGATCTGGGCGATTGTTTGCGGGCTTCGCGCATCTGGCTCAACACCGGCAGGTGTCGCGAGAAGCTTGCTTCTCCGTCGTAACCGTGTCCAGGATCTGGCTGGTTCCAGAGTCCAGTTTCAGTGTTCGACTGGTAACGTGGCCAGTCTGAACTCCAAGAGCAGCAATGGGTTGTGTGGGGTTTGGGCGGCGAATCCACGCCTGAAGCTTAAAAGGCAACAGCACTTTGCCGTACTTCCTGGCACGTCAAGACTCGCAGGTTCTCCAGGACCAGACAAGACATACCACGACAGAACTAATTGTGATGGAAGACAGCACAGCTTGACGGGCGCATGTGTAAACCGGCGAAACGAAGCGGCGCACCAACGTGGGGAGGCACATTTGTCAGCAGTTTAGGTCGTCTGAGACGCCCCATCACTAAATGAATGAGATGCGGTGCATGGTGAGCCTGGAGCCTCCCAAGAGCGACTTGAAGCAGCACGTCTATCCCGTGACAGTCAGATCCCAAGATTCCGGAAGAGCACCGTATGGTTGTCTGTGGCTGATGCCGTGACCTTGAATGCTGCTACCAATTCTGTCTTGATTTCACTTGTTCGCATAGCCGTCTGCACTGATGCTTGTATCGCCCGTTCAATTGTGGCGCATTCCTTGTGCTGTGCAGGAGGAGGATGAGTTCGTCATTCCGAAGAAGCCACCGCTTAGGCCGAATCGGTTGAGTGCTTCAGGGCAAGTTGAGACCCCCTCAAGACAGGCTTCGCTCTGTTTCGAGATTTAAAAAAGACCTCCAAAACGTCCGGACGGCTTCAGGTCCGAGTACAAGGAGGCAAAGGCCAGGGCTGAGGAGGCAGATCGCATCCGCAGCTTAGCAGCACCTGATCTCCAACCCGTGAACACAGCAAAGGTTGTGATTGTGGAACGAGATACGTAGAGCCAAAACGATCCAAAAATGTCATGTCGACATGGTGGTCCTGGAGACTTTACAGCTGTCAAGGTCTTCAAGAGGAAGAGATGAAGTCGGATTCAGAGGATGATCCTTCCAGCTCCTTGGCAGCATTGCACATCTCACTGCCGCGTGTTGCTTTCAGTCTTTAGCTCAGCCACAACATTCAATCCATGAATTGTTCCACTCCCCAGTCCGAATCTTGCATCATATGGGCAGGGGCAAGGGTGTCTTTCTGTGCTGCTGCGAAGCATCTATGACCATAGAATGCTTGAAAGTCGTGGGGCTGGGTTCCCTTCAGAAACCTGTATCCGAAACGCAACCAAATCACCCGTTAGTCGCAAAAGGGTCAGGGTTGACTCGCCTCCGGCCAACCTAAGCATGTGAAGGGTGGTTTGCAGCTTTGCTCCTCAGCGAACCTCTAGTGAGAGACGCGACTTCGAGTAAAAGCAGGTCCAAGCCATGGCAAATCCTCGGCACTCTTCATGAATGGAAGCTATCAGGGAAGGCAGTGTGTAGAGCTTCGGGAATCATACAAAACAGGCATGCCATCGCGAAGTTTGTGCTGCCACTGCACAAAGGTGATGAGGATGAGTTCGAAAACCGGCGCATCCATTGCTGGGTCTTGGTGCGGAAGGGTTCTCGTGAGGCCGAGATGCTGCCTTCCTTATGTACAGCTCGCTGTCACCGCCATGATGCCATGTATGTGCGCTACTACGCTATCCAAATCGGGGGCTTTGCCTTTTGCAGGTTGCTGAAGACATGTACCTCGAGCCAACCACCGGTCGCATCTACTCCGTAAAGCGCTGTCCATACCTCAAGATTGACCTCATCTGGAACCACCGCAACCTGTGGGTCAACATGCAGGCCATGAAGGTTCTCGTCTGGGCGGTTCCCGAGCACAAGCGTGAAGCGCAGGTATGTGGAGCCTCCCACGTTCAGCTTGATCTCTACAACTCTCGCTACTTCGAGTACGTGATGCTGGGGACCTGTCCCCACTTTGTAGAGGTAGCGCACATGCGCGGAAGCACATTGCACTGAAATGACACCGAGGCTCGACGCCGACAATCCGGGAAGCGACCTGGGAAGTGGTGGCAGATATGAGGGCGACGACACAGGTGGGGCCGCGGGGATCATCTTTCTCCGGCTGGGATCTTGTGTGGCAGCTGTTGCTGCGTCAGGTCCGACTGCCGTGCCATCTGCGGGCGGCAACATGGACTCCGACGAGAGTCGCAGGGCGGAGCAAACGGCACAGCCGCTTTGCTTGCGTTTTGTTTGTTGTTCTGCCGGCCTGATGCTTCTGCTAAACTCTCACCGGTCACGCCGAGCAGGATACTGGACTTGCCATCACCCTGGAGCGAGCGACCGGATATTCCTCGCGAGAAGTTCCATGCACGTTGCTACCAGGGGGACGCTCGGCGAAAGCTAATCAGAAAGTCATGTTTGTCCAGTGTGGCACCTGAGTCCGATCTTTGTTGTCAGGAGAAGACGATTTTCTATCACAAGTGCAAGGTGGAGCAGTATGCGCCATACACGCAAGATGATGGCCTAGTGCAGCGAATTACCCTGTACAAGGCATCGATCTGGCGCTCTAGAGATTTCCTTCTCGACAAATTCTCTTTGTTGTTTGGGCTGTCAAGACCATCGCAGGACGTGCGCCGGCAGATTCCCCTGGAGATCCGTGAGCGGTTCAAGCATCGGAAAGACAAGCTGTTTGAGCGCAAACGTCGGCCTATGCAGAATGCCCCTTGGCGAGCCGTCACCACTTTTTGTACCCTCGATGAGGCGGCTTCACGAAGCAAGATTGTTAGCGATTGTTCATCGAGGAGACGCTTGAGCGATTTCTCCCTGGGCGGCCCTCCACATCTGCCTCCAATGCGGGTGGTGCTCTCAAGGAGTACCGAGAGGTCGGTGGAGGGCTGGGGTCCATTTGTGAGTTGTCGGACTTGTGCAATCTCCTGGCCTGGATATGTCTGGAATAGGCTGATCTTGGCCAGCTGGGCATCCGCAAGTCGTCAAACCAAACGTGTTGGTATCGAGATCGGGTTAGTGCGGGTCAGGGGTCTTGGTAAAGTGCTTAGCAGATGCCTGGTGACCTTATGATGCCCGTCCAGATCAGCGCCCTGAGCCGCGAGCTGATATTCTACAAGTCTCGCCTGGATGGCCTCGTTCGTTCCGTCGAGATCATTGGCAGGACACGGTCAAAGGGACGAGCAGGGACAGGGCGGAATGTTGTGGGATTCGTGCAGGGAGACAGGACCACGGCAGGGCAGGACGTTTGTTGTAGGTTTCAACAGACCTTAGGTCTCCTCAAAGATGCCAGCTTGAGTAGGGCCCAGACTGTGGAGTCTAGGTCTCGCTGTGTTGTCTGGGACTGCCACTGCCAGTCAAAGAGTTCCGCCCCGTGATTCGCCAGGAAGATGTTCGAATACTTTGAAGATCGAGACGACCGACTTATCTACCATTCTGCGACTCAGCAGATTCTATGAGTCTATGCATGTGGCGCCCAAACCTTTTTGCCCACATCAATCTCTTTGGAGCTTCGGAGCTTTCCCACCTGTGACAGCGGTGCTGAGCACAAGTCCCCAACTTGTGAGGTGACTTTGGATCCTACAGCCATGATCAACGGCACGCTGCGTGGTGGGCCTAAGAGCAAGGACTTCAGGGCTGTTCATTGCATCAGACACCTTCGGTGTGCGGGGCACTGTGCACCAGCATGTCGCTTCACTTTAGCGTTTCCACTGGTGCTGTGAACCCAAAGCCAGAAGTCCTGGACGTAGCAGCACCAGTGTGTCGAACAAATTGGTGATTTTGCACGCCCGAGGGCAAAGACGCCACCATCAAGCGTCCATCACACCGCAGAACAATTTGATAATTAGTTGTCTCGCAGTTTCCGTAGTTGCAGGTGATGCTAGAGAGAGCTCACCACCTGCTGCAATTTGCTTGGTTTGTTGCGGCCCCTCTCGGTGACCCCTCGAACCCCTAGAAGCTCTAGCAGCACGCAGCGTGCACAGTTTGCTATGTTTACTCGGCCAGGACACCTACCCCGTCGATTCTGTGGGAGAAGTGCCAATAAAAAAGATGACGCAGAAGTATGCTCGCAATCCCGAGGTTGGGCAATCATGTCTTCTTTGTGTGTTATTTCGTGAAACACTGGGCCTGACGACTGCGGGCGATGCTGGGCTGCTGGCTCCATATGAAAGACAGATTGCAAGTCCCCATGATGAAGTACAGCCCGGCAGGTTCCAGCCGATGAAGACATTGCCAAGATTAGCGCCCTGCTGGATGTTGATGTTTGCTTCAACATGAGAGACTATTTCGGCTTTCTGAGATCTTGCATACATATTCGTGTGTAGCAGCTTGGTAGCTGCGAGCTCGAGGCTTCTACCTTTCGGAGCAAACTTCTTCCTCAATTTATTCTTCAACGGGAAAAATACGCGTGGACTACCATCGAGAACCTGGTTCGCTGACTTTTGGCATCTATCCCGCAAGTGGCGCAGGGACATTGGAGTAATTGTCCCACTGGCATGTCGGCCTGCACGCGACTGTGCGACTGTCTGGACCCATTACAGCCTAAGTACATGTCCGTACCTCAGTTGAAAGAGCGTCTCAGGCCAAGCCATGTACCACTATGAAGACGGCAACCTCCGTCGCCGGCCCTCGAACTTGCGACAGCCAACCCAGGCTTGAAGATGTCGTGCTTGACTGTATGTGGGGCCTGTCTGCTTCGCAAGTGTTTGCCAGGTTCAGGTCCACAAACTGTTGCAGATGCAGTCCAGTTGCAACGGCCTCGGGTAACGTCTCACGGGCCGTTTCAGTATGCGCTCATGGGACCGCTCCTACCGGCCATCTCAGCCACACGACTGAGGTCGGGACACCATCATGGCATCCCATACCAGCATCCAGCAGGACTGCCGGAGGTTTGTTGCTTCACAGGAGAACAAGGCCCCAAAGCAATCTGCAACTTCAAGAAGGAATGCAGGATCGCCGTATAAACTCACCGGTTCGAAGCCCCGATCTGTAGGCGGGGCTAGTGGGCTTTCAAAGTATTCAACAGTTCTCCCAGCTCAACGACACATGATGCGGTCTTGGTGCCCTGGTGGCAACTGGTGAGTTGCTTTCTTGATATGTTTCGGTGGGGCTTGGACCCAGGATGTGTCATCTGGGGTCTACAGCGGGCAGCTGTGATTGTGCGTTTATGCAGGTACAGGTAGTTTTTTAGGCTGCCCACGTATGACTATTTCAAGCCAAAGCCTTCAAGTCTCGGCTCCAGATGCCCAGATGCCCATGCCGAAACATTCATACATCGTAGCGAAATCTCTGCGAGATTTGGTGCCGAAGCGTGGAGTAATGAAGCCGTTATCTCAGATTAGACGTGCTAAGTGCTCAGGATGACCCAAAAGAGTTGCGGATGTCTGAGTGTTTTAGTGTGCCTTAAACTATTGCCTCACAGTACGGGGTGTGACGTGGGTGGCTCAAGCTGCACGTCAGTTGAGCCGATGCGGATGAGTTTCTCAACCTCGATTGCAGAAGCTGATCTATAACGCAAGCCTATGCCATGTCCTTCAGGAGCTGACCACACGCCGAAAGGATGAGATCAGCATCCGCGGCATGCGGTCTGTCTCAGCAGGGAAGAAGCGAGATCTCACAATCCCAGGCTCGGATCATGTTTTTCCCCTTTGGGGAGTAAGCATACTCAGTAAAAGCTTACCACCAACCAGGGTTCATGTCACCATCACGACGATATTGAATCACTGCTTCTGTTTGGGGTTGCGCACGTCGTAATGGCGGGACAGGTTGAAGGCAGCAAAGACAACAACAAATGGCAGGATAAACAACCCACGAGAGTTTCACAGCGAGCGAAGGAAGTCATGGAAAGACAACTTCGCTGCGAGAGCATGGCTTCACCACACACGGCACATGAAGAGATGGTCTGCCTCACGCTGTCCACGCTGTGGGGGCATGATTTTGTGTAGTGACGCAAAGGGTGCATGTTCAAGGACCGTCACATGGTGGGTTTTCAAGGGCGTTGCTCTCGGGTAGTGTCGCAGAGCGGAAAGTCTTTGCACAATCCGTCCTGCATTTGTGTAAACGTGTACACTGTGCGAAACGTTTAAAGTATTTACTGAACACCATATTCTAAAAAATGTGTGTGTGGTGTGATATGATGTAGGAAAAGACTAAACCCCGAGGCAACAAAAACCGAGTGTGGGCGTTGAAACCCATTTCTGCAGATTCTGGCGAGGGTGCTGGTATGTATGTCCTCACATGAGGGTCTGAAGGGTCCGAAAACTTTCTGTGGCAGCGAAGTGTTGTCCAACCCGCCTTCTCTAGGAGAGTTTCTCTTTGGCAAACGTTGCAGGTGGACAAAGGCTGTTTAGCGAAAAACCTATCTGTGAGTCTGCAGACCTGGATTGTCCGAGCGCGAGTTTCCAGGCCCCAGCCGGTGGTATGTGTCCGACGGTCCTTAGTGTCGCACTCGTCTGGATTGTCCGAGTGTGGGCTTTCCGTCTACGATGCAAATGGAGGGATTGATGTTCAAAAGGTGAAGCACATGACTTAGCCCGACAACCGCAAAGACGATCACGGGGCATTGCCTAGGTGGTCGTTTCCAGGGTCTTTTCCATTTCTGGGCGGGAACGCCGCGTGTATCTCAAGTCGCTTGTCCGCCTTGGCGGAGCGGGCAGTCGATACTCCAAGGCACGGAAAGTGACCGTCCGATTTCCGGTTCCAGGCAGGAGGTGGAGTGGAAGAGGGTGGGTAGGAGGCCAGTTCATAACGCCCAGCGAGCGGAGGTCCAGGTTGACTTGCTGAATGCTTCACCCCCTGGAGCATCAGTGGCGTCATGCTGATGGAGTCTTCTCAAGATCCAACTGCAGAGGTAGCCGTGACGATGTGCTGGAGCCGTCTGTTTATGACCTGGCTCGCGAGAGCGCTCGTGTGGAAGGTGGGCTCCTGCGTGCTAGCCCCTGACCAGCGATTTTTACGAGATGTCCTGCGAAGGCACCAGAGAAGGTGCCGAAGAGGAGAAGCAGGAAGAGCAAACTTCGAAGGCTCATTGACTTCCGGTATGCTGTACATTCCGGTGGAGTTACACGATCCCGCATTCTATATCCAGAACTTTGAATCTGCGCTTTCATAATTAGCCCAAAACCTCTCGAGTTGACCTGGTTTGCTTCAGCTCGCAGCCCCAAAGGTAGATATCCTTGCTCCGTACCTGGTGGATTTCATCAACAAGGACCGAATGATGCCAGCAGCCCGATTTTTGAAAGGAATGCCCGGTCTGGAATCAAGAGGCGGTGTCCAGAGTGCATTGATTGAGTTTGCTGAAGCAGCCAGCAGTAATCCGAGAACCTACATTCAGAAGTTTGGCCGAAAGCTTCGCCGGACCAGTGACTTCTTCCTATGAGTATGTGCTCTGCATGATGAGGAGACCGGCCTTGTGCAGCTCGACTCGCTGCAGGCACGTTGCAGCTCAGGGCCTAGGTGGAGCGGTAGCAGGCGACGTGAAACGCAGTTCCAGTTCGGGTTTGGCAGTTTCTGACAGGCGGAGCTCGTGGCCAAGAAGTGCACCACAGATTTCCGTCTCTTCGGCTTGTGTTACTGCTAGTATTTTGAAGTGAAACCTGTACTCCAGCGAGTGGCAGAGTTGAACGCCCAGCACGTTTGCAGCCCATAAGTTCTAGAAGGGCTCTGCCGGTGCTCGGCAAGTCACGCCCGAAACCCTTGCATACTGTTGCGCCTTGCATGTGTCGCAGACAGGACTGCATGTTTGCTATGGCGAGGAATTCTTCATTAGACGGAGCCTTGAATAGCGTTGGCGCAGAGCGCCAGTCAGACTAATTAACATACCTTCAGGTCGTGGTCCCAGTCCATGCCGTTGCAATTCCGATAAGTCTAGGAGGCCGACTAGCAACGAGTTGTATGACTGATCGCGGACGCATGGCAGGGGTTCGGGAGAAGCGGTGGCTGTCGTCGGCCGTAACCACAAGCCAACCTGACTTCACAAGACGGGCCTAGTTGCTACGATTCACCAAGCTCCTGCCAGTGACATGCTCTTCTGGAATCCGAAGCCTGAAATCGAAATCGGAGTGCATGCCCGGCAAGGGATGCGAACCTCCTGAGAAGCAGGTACTCTGCTGGTGAGAAGGCAGAGAGAACAGCAAAGAGACAGCCATCTCTAACATTCCCAAACCACGAAGACTGGGGATTAAGCACGCGACGGAACATGAGATGCCTGCTGTTTTTGGGTCGAAGCGACAGAGAAACCGCAAGCTGCCCTGTTGTGATTCTTTGTGCCAGGCAAGCGCCTCACAGATAGGGCCGAGATCATCCAGCGTCGTTTGGAGGACCCTCCGAGCTTGTTCGGTCTGGCGTCCTCGCAGCGTCTCGCGAGCTTGTTTCGGCTTCTCGTCGCCTCAGGAGGAGCAAGAGCTACTCCGCAAGAGACGGGCGCAAATGCAGCGCCGAGGGGACAGCGTGGAGCGGGATGAGCGCGACTTCGAACAGTGCCTTTGCGGCTCTGGGGTCAGCGGTCAGTGGGTGTTGCTCTGTGCGGCGTGTCGCTGCACTCAGGGAGTTGCAAGGGCTGTAGGACGAACAGCGGCTGACTGGTCTTTGCTCCGGAAGGTACCAGAACCAAGCTATGTTTCGAACACAGATCTTGGAGCAGCGGCTGGCCCGACATGAGATGCAGGCCATTGAGAAGTTCCAGGACCCTGTGTTAACCCGCCAAAGGCATCTCATTGCCGGGGCTCAGCCTTGGCACCGGGTCGGTTCTGCGTCGACGATCTGTCAGATTGTTGATGAGTCCCTGATGTTTTCTGGTTTCAGGATCTGGAGAGGATGCTGCAGGAGGACCCTCGTCTGGCAGCGATGTGGCAGAAGGAGCCCGGAAAGAGCAATCACCTGAAGATGGGAGCAAACGCGACTAAATCGGAGTTGGGTCCAAGAGTAGCACAACTTGCGTCCATTGTCGGATTTCAGAGGGAGGGTGGATAACGGTCTTGCAAAGGATTGACGTAGAAACCCGAGCTCAGATCCCGAGGCTGCCCTTGCCTTGCTTCTGCAATTTCCCCGAAAGGAGCCGGCGGCGGTGAAGGGTTGATTCGTTTGGGGTCGGGCGCAGGCATTGTTTGTTCACTTGAAACAAAGGTGTGTTAGTCTGTTTTTAACAGCTTCGCGCTCGGCCCTTGCATGCTGGCAGACTTGCGTAGGCTCTGTAAAAACCGATGGTCGTTGGTCTGGCGCCTGCTAATCGGCAGCATGCCAGTCACAGACACGGCAGCGCTATGCGTACGGTCTTTCGTGTCACTCATTCTCACCGTAGCTGTTCCGGGGCACAAGTCGCTTTACGGAGCAGTGTCTGCAAGGCTTACTAGACATGCATTGCGGTCGGGAAAAGATTTCTGATGCTTTCCGTGCGAAGCGGAGAAGCTCTACCGCAGTTGAGTTTGATGTGGAAGTGATCTGGGGCAGCACAGAGGCAGAGAAACGGCAGTCGAAAGGTCGGTCGGTCGGTCTGCTAATTTCGCGCTTTCAGCTGGCCAGTTCAGTTCGCCATTCCACTTACCTGTTCGAGATGCCGGGCCCATCGATGTCTGCAGTGTCTTCTCGGGCAGCTTCAAGGGGGAAGCATGGCGAGCCAAAAGCGATCACGTTCACTGATACGAATGCTTTCCACAGCCCAGCAACAGACTGCTCCTACCGTTCATGGTGTAGTCTCAGATATTCCAGTCTGTGGGATCAGATGCGGCTCCAGCACCATTCCCGGCGCCCCTGCTAGGCTCGGTTCTTTCTGGCTAGATTGGTGATTGGTGAAACGCGGCCGCATGCCAGGTGCAAGCAGAAGCTACTGTAGAGGACGAGAAAGACAGATAGAAAGCCACCGGTGCTGTACGGGTTTGCGCAAAATGCTTTTGAATGGGCTGTGGGCAAGCTGGCATCTCCGAGTTGACACTGCGGTAGGCACTGCACTAAGATCGATGCACGTGCATGTATCTGCATAGGTCTTGGTTAAACCGACGCTGTGAAGATGACACGAGACGAAGAAAGGCCTCAAGCCGTGAAGTAGTGTGGAGTAGGAGCCATGGAAGTGCCCAAAGCAACATGATGTCATCGAATGTTTGTTACTTCTCTGATGGGTACACAGGGTTGACACTGCTAGGATCGTCATCATGTGGTCTGCATTTGGTCCACTCGTGTGCGCAAAAAAGGTTTTTGTGTCGAGCAATATGCACAGACAAAGGGTAGACACTCTGCGTTGCCCATGCGAAGGACCCTGCTGAATTGCTGACGCTCATCCAGGGCCTTTGCAGACATGAGTACCGAATCCATGATGCTTGATTCCATGCACGACCAGCTTGCGACCATGTGGGTAGTTCCGGTCCAAGCAGTCCTGCGAACCTTGGAAGCCAATATGTTCGCATCTTGTCAGAGGTACAGCGTACTGCTAGCAGCTGCTCAGGAATGGAGGGGCCACCGAAGCCTCATCAGGAGCTTCGGGAGAGTGGGCTTGTGGCGACTAGCTTGCAGAGAACAACGGCGGCTCCATTGATGCTTAAGAAACACTCTCGGACTCGCTGACTGACTTCGTAAGGTGAGACGTGAAGCCTCCCACAAGACGATCTTTGCACCGTGGCCTCGCAAAGATCCTGCAACAATTACGCAGGAGGGAGGGCAGTGTTTTTTAAAGGCCAGATGACAAGAGTTTCCGCGACTGTTCCTGCCGCGATTAATCGGAGATCCCCCCCAGCGCGCGCTGTCGAGTGAGCCGTCTGACCCATTGGCTAAGGTATCGCACCAATGGCTAAGCATCTTTCATCCTGACCCAGACGGGCAGCAAACTCGTGTTCTGCGAGAAGCTCTGCGGCACATCATCGATGGCAAAGTCCAGGCCGGAAAAATGGAGGTTTCGTGTGATGAGAGAGTCAGAGCGTCCTGTTGAAGCCAGGCAGAGTCGGACATTGTTTCACAGTTTTACGGGAAGAGCCGACGGTGACTTGGCAGTGACCAAGCTTTTGTTGCGAGCTGCTGACACAGAGTAGGCTCTGTCATCAGTGGACAAGCTCCTTTGGCGAGTGCAAGAAAGGCATCGTTGCAAAGAAGCTGCGGCTAAGGTTTACGGCGTCCGAACGTCGTCAAGTAAAGGACGCATGCATCTGGCTCGATTGGTTTTCCGTCCCGCAGAATATGGAGGGACCGAAGGATGAGCATGCGCTGTCTAAACTCCGCACAGAGCAGCTCCTGTGCATCCGATCCATTCCCAGCTATGTGGAATCTTCGGAGATGTTCCTGGCTCTTGTTCCACCGCTCCAGAATGCATCGACGACAGACTACTGTGACTTTACCAGTTGGTTCGGCCGCGGTTGGTGCCTATGCTGCAACGGCATGCGGCTTCCTTCTCCGAAATCATTGTTCCCCATAGCTGACCGCTAGACAGCCGAGGTGCAGGACCGAAATGTGGTGCAAGCTGCTGTCGCGAGATTCATCTATGCCAATGGTTATGGTTTATGGCGAGGACAAAGCCGAGTTTGTTGGGTCCACAAGCTGGGTTCAGGCTTTAGTTCACGAAGGCGACTTTGCGGTGGAGTCTGACCGCAGGCTGTGCTGCAAGGTAGTGCAAGCTGCTCTCGAAGAAAAGCTGCAGCAGCTTGCACGCGACAAGAAGCAGCGGAATTTGTTCAGGTATTTTGCTGCCCGGTACGAGGATTTCATTGGACTGCAAGCTCCCCAACGAAGTATGGAGAGTTTCCTGGAGCATTTCCAGTTCGCATCGCTGGGCTCGGCATTAAAGCAAACCTCGGGCATGGGAGCTGTCGCATGCGCAGCCTTATCTGGAGACACAGCCATGGTACGGAATTTGGTCGAGATGAGGGCTTTGATTGAAACAGCGCTGCCAGAACTTTGGCAGGTGGCTTTGCCTATCAAGGCCACCCCGCTGATCATGACTCTCACACGTGGGGACCGAGGTCAGGCATCCCTCGTGGAGCTTCTCAAATCAAGGGCGGACCCGAACAGCTGTGACGGCAATGGCGGAGCGGCTCTTTGCTACTGCACAACCCCCGAAGCTGTGGACTTGCTGGTGGAGTACCGTGCAGATGTGAACCTCCGCAAGGCACCCACCATGATGGCTCCCATCTCTGGCATGTGTGCCAGAGGGGCGCCACCAGAAGCCGTGACAAGACTTCTGGAGCTCCGAGCAGATGTCAACCTCTCTGATGGTGGCCTCGGCCAAACAGCCATTGTCTATTTGACCATCTTCTTCTCGGGCAACATGCGTGGTCTCCAGGTGGCCGATGTGCTCCTACGGGCAAGGGCAGATGTCAATAAGATCAGCAAGATTGCGCCGGCCGTCCAAGTCGTTGAGTACTGTGCACGTGCCTTCAAGTTGTTCAAGAAGGCCCGCTTCCAATCTTTTGCCTTGCCTTGGTGTGCATCGTAACTACCAAGGAGTCTGGTTGTTTCGCTTGTCTGCTGTCCAGTTTTGCCACCGCATGGTCCTGTAGACGTAATGTGCCGACGGGAGTTTTAATTCCACTTCTACTGCATCAGGAACTGCCGCTGCTGATCTCTTGGTTGGCCGAGGGCGGCACAACTGCTCTTGGTGCTGCGTGCTTCTTCGGATCGCAAGAGACAGCTGGCATACTTAGATGTCTGCATGATGTCTGTTGATTCCGGTCGCTGTCCTTAACAAGATAGGACGAGAGCTTAGGCAGCTCGTAGCCATTCGCCACTGATTTCATGTGGGGCTGTGCCTTGTACACTGTAAACCTCTGATTCTAAGGATGGTGCGCGTCCTCCTTGATGCCAGAGCAGACCCGAATATGCGCAACCGGCGTGGGCACACTCCTTTTCAGCTCGCCAGACACGCTTTCATCCGCGACGCCCTCTGCAATTGGCAGCCCGAGAAGGTGGCTCACGAGCAAGCCGATTTTGATCATGCAGATGCCCGAATGACAACTGATGCTGTAACTTCGCAGAACTCATGGAGCATTGCCTCTGGCACAATCGAAGATTTAGTCAGGACGGAGCTCTAAGAAGGCTTTTGTCATGATTGTCAATTACAGTTTCGGATCGCGATTAAACAATCGCGGTGTTCATTGATCCGATATCAGGTCCTTGAGATGATAAGACAACAAGAGAAAAGCCTATCAAATAAGTCGAAGTATCAATTTTCCACAAATCATGAGATACTTCAATCTGAGAAATAAGCACAAGTTTGTAAACGTACCCAACTCTTCTCTCAACAGCTTTTCTCAGGTTCAGGCTTTCCAAACTATAAGCAGATATTTTCTATTCAGATGTTGTTATTTGTTATCCCCTTTGCATTTTGATTTTTCTTGTTGGCTGATTAAGGTTTGTTACAATACGTCTGTTTAGCTTGATTGAAGCATTATTGGCACTCTCATTTAGAAAAACTTTTCGGTTTCGTGGCAGTTGATTATGTCGACAAGCCTTTGCGCTTCTGAGCCTCTTGCTTTCGTAAACTTGCCGGTCATCTCACGTCTTCTACGGCCGTCTTGCGCGACCACGAATTTGGTTTATCCTACGTTATTGACTTCTCTCAGATCTTGGATCTTGCGGCGCTAGCCTCGCAGTTTGGCGGCTCCCTGGAAAGTTGTTTGCGGCAGTAGAATTTCTAAGCTTTGGAGTTAGACTTGAATGCCTTGCATGTTTACTTATCAGTTGCACAAGCCGCGCCGAATCACACGAGAGCGAGATGTCGTTCTACTTGCACCAGGAGCGGCCGGGTGTGGGTTGCGGGTGTTTCGGCTGTTCCGGGTGTTCCTTGCGGGTGTTCTGTGTTCCGGTGGGACTTGGATTCCGGCTCTAATGTCCGTATTCTGTGGCCGAGTTCCGGGTGGGTTCCAGGTTCGGCTGTATCAGGTTTTTCTGGCGTTGCGGGATTCCCAGGTTTGGGTTCCGGTTGAGGGTAGATATTCCTGCTGTTCTGGAGGTTGGGATAAAGAAGGTAATACGATTCCGTGGCCTCTAGACGTTCTGGGAACCGGGGAAGGATTAGATAATCTTTCTTAGAAAGATTATATTGACCGGATTTTGACGGGAAAATTAGAATTGAAAATATTACGAAATGAAATCTCAATTTAATCATATACCTATATCAAAGAATTCATATATATATATATATTTATATTTCCCCCCCGGGCCTAGCACTCTCTTTGGGGCGGGGGTTTCTTGTGGAAAGGTGCGGACCCCGGGCGGCGGCACTAAGGGCTCTTGCCCGATGAGCACCCCCTTTCCCCCCCTCCCCTGTGCTAGGGCGACAGTGCCCTCTAGTATTCTGGCTCAACTGTTGTTGCAACTGATCCGGCGATGCCGACGTCTCCACCCATCATGGGCCTGAGGACATTCCGTGTATATGTGAGGTATTCCACGCTCATCATATGCATTAGCAACTCCCTGGATTGCTACCTTTGTTATCGGCCTTGTTCCAGGGCTGCGCCTCTGTGCTGTTCATTGCCGCGGTGGTGTGCATGTTCATTTACTGTACCTGATTGGTGGCGTGCTCGCCCTCGGTGCTGGAACAGTGTTCCCTCGGCACATGGCGCACGCCTTTGGGTCGCCTTGTGTGTGCCCTCTGTGCATGGAGCCTCGCTCCCTCGGCACTGGCCGCACGGTTCGCTCCCTTTCAACTCTTTGCGTCTGCTGCCGGTTACTTGGTATGTTCTTTGGTGCATACAAGCATAAGTATTATCGGTTGGTGACGTCTGGCTTGGCCTCCTGCCTGCTATATCCCTGATCAAGGACTATGCCTCTCCGATTCTTGGGTTTGAAACATGTATCTTAGTATTCTACACCGTGACCTGTCTGCACTAGCTAGTTTTTCCCCCACTTGAACTCTGGGACGGAGGGAGGCGATGACGCTTGCGGAGCCCCCCTGAGATGTTGAGAGGGACGTGG